ATTTTGAAAAATTAGTGTCACAAAATGAAGTAACCTAAACGAATGCGCGAATATGGACGAAATTCAGTAAGTAGGGGATTTCAATTTGAAAATAGCAAAATTTTTATTGAAGAGTCATTATACAGTGAGTTTTTTTTAAGACTGGTCATAGGATTTTACATGCTAATTTTTCAACTTATATTTTCAAGAAAATATTCAATCCACTTTTGTAGTACCTAAAGTTGTGGGAACTGATAAGGTACCTATTGAAATAATTCCAATTTAATATCCACAAGTAACGAAAAGCCTAGCAAACAATTTTTTTCATAATTCCGCACGCTTCAATTTTAGATTTTCAGTAGGCTGAAATTTCATCTGTCATTTGTAATTTTAATCTGACATTCAACAAAAAGAAAGGAAGATATTTTCATTCCAAAATGAAATAAAGAACGAGAAAACGTTATTATGTAACAAAATAACAGTGCTAGTCTTTGTAATTTTCACAAAACTAAAAGGTAAAAGGCAGTTAATTAACATGTAAAATCTTAAAAAGTCCTTAAAAAAACTCACTGTATGTTTCAGATTTGTTATTTAAAATTTTGTTATTTCGGAATATGTAAAAATATACAGGGTGTTTCGTAGAAGAAAAATGTAATTTTGTTGAATATCTCGATCATTTTTTCAATTTTGCCATTCTTGAAGAAACGCTTTATATTTCGTGCTAATAAGAGAGTTCATTTCTAGTTGAAACACACTGTATATGATCGCTACATAAAAGTAATAAAATTCTTAGGCATAGAACGAAAAAAAATTTATTAACCCAGGTAACTAATTTGACAGCTTCTCCAACATTTTGTATTTCATTTTACATTAGTTTAAATTAATAAAAATGTTCAAAAGGTTGTAACGCTTTCAACTGAGTGATAAAAGTAAAGCTGGTATTTTGGGAATTTGAATGAATCAGGGAATGAATGTATCAGTTTATTTAGAAAAAAAAATGTTATTTTGTTTCCTTCCCTACAATTTCTTTTCATTCATATTTGAAAGGACATCTTTCTACACGATTTGCTAAAAAAACTTTGATATTACACTGACTGAACGCAACACATGGTAGAGTAAACCCTTCTCTTCTGCGTTATCTTGTAGCGTTGTCATTGTAGCGATCACCCAAATCTGACTGTATACCTCGACGAACGATCAGAAAAACTGAGAATATTTTTTATTCTCCTGATTTCTCTACCCGCATCCACGTGTTCGTCGATAAAACCACAAAATTAGCGAGACGCTTTATTAAATGATTCTCCGATAGCAGTAAAGGAATTACGTAGTAATTAAAGGCAACTAAACACGGGTTACGTACACTGTGAAAAAAATTCAATTAGCGGTGTCACTTGAGAGACAACTATGCCTCGTAAGTTACTTTGAAAATGTAATTTAAAACCCGCTTGTCAACCGCAAAATTTGTTGTAAAATTCGTAAGTCGCATTTACGAAATTCTTTACAAGAATCTCGGCATTTTCATCTCGGAAGAATCGATTAACGAAAAAAAAGTATGTACAGTAAAACAGGTAGGTGATTCTAATTACACCATCATCGATATTTTTTTACTTTTCATTTTTTGTTAGTTTGAATTATAATATCTCGCAGAACAGTAACTGAACCAAACCACGTACAATACTTATGGGTAAAAATTGATTCTACGGATAATTTATAGGAGAAATGTATTTATGCTAATGAATCCATATATACAGTGCCGGATTTAGGGTTTCTGCCGCTGTGGGCAAACATTTTTTGCCGCCCTTGACATATCACTATATCACCATTATTACAAGGTGGGAAAAGTAAGGCATTCATTGGCTATATTTGCAATGCAATGAATGTACTAACAGATTTTATTTTTGGTTCATTTCATTTACCGATTCACCGTTTACCTAAAAAATTTGAACGCATTTTAATTTTTCTGTTTTCCTCCAAATTTGCCGCCCTTACAATTTTGCCGCTGTGGGCAATTGCCCACGTTTGCCCCTTATATAAATACGGCACTGCATATATAAGGAATCAAATGTAAAGGATTTACGACAACTTTACTGTAACAAAATCCTCCAGTTCATAAAAAAAAAACAAAATTACTTTGTTGCCCAACATGCACACTCATTATACACACCAGGAAGACCATATACTTTTTCCAAGGCCTGAAAAAACAGTCGCTAAACGATGTGCTTACTACCTACATTGCTCCAAGGCTTTATTCCATTCTACCGCCCGAAATGGAAGGTATATCTACCTATCCCGCTTTCAAGAAAATAGTCTAGATGTGGGTATTGGAATTTAGTTTAGTTTATTATTTTTAGTTTTTTTTGTGAAATGAGGTCAGGTTTGATTTATATCTTTTTTTTGTAAATGTTCAAACTACTTACGATTTTGGCAATATTTCTTTTTCTTAGTGTCCTTAAGTACCTACTTATTTTTTGTATTCAGCAATATAGTAGAAAAATAAATATATATTGGTATTATTATATTATTATTATTATGATCGACTAAGGGGCCTATTCTCTAACGCTTAACGATGTCGTTACAAAGCGGTTATCGTTCGGTAACGACTTTCTCTAGTCTGTATGACATATATGATATAACAATCAGTGATACTGTCGTTAAAATCGTTACCATTACGATATCGTTTGTTAACGACAATATACAGAATAGACCTCTTAATCTGTAGAAAGCGTTCCTTGCCTTCAGTGTATAATATTTTATTTGTTACTCACTTGCAAATAATATAAAACATAAATTAGTTCTAAAAGTACAAAGCACGGATTAATCTGAATGGAGTTTTTGAAGCTTTCAATTCCAAAAATTTCAATTTCTCCTCGGATCTCTAGCTATAATGGGAGATGTCGTTATAGAGCTCTTAAATAAAGAACTGCGACAATTGAATTTGTTGATTAATATACGAATAAAATGATACAGAATACGTACCGCACTAGATACAGCTGTAATTTAGAGTAGACTTACTGATTCTAGTATGATAGATTTATTCGAATATCCATTTTGAGATAAGGTTTTGCTGTCAACATTCCCGCAAATGAAAACGAGGTGAAAGCGATGTAGAATTGTGCACGTTCCTGGATGTAATGTGCGGAAACTAGGCCTACCCGATATTAGAAAGAAAATTTATGGCATACTTCTTTTCGTACCTTTCGCGTGTGAGATTTTCTTGCATGCCGTTTCAATTTATGCATTCTATTAGACACTATTGCCTCTTAACACATGACACACATGCATGAATGGCTACAACTGTTTCGACACACTGATGCACAGAAGCGTTGATAAAAAAGAAGTGTTAATATTATTGGAATATTAAACAGTACACGTACACCATTTCACTACCGGAACACGTAAAAAAATTTTTGTTGAAATATCTTATTTAAGATTTCGTTTCAAAATTATCAAAGGAAAACTTGCTTCGTGCTTGTTTTCAATTAAAATTGGGAGCTTGAAGCTTAATTCTGGGTTTCATGTTCCACATTTACGATTCGCTAACGTTCTAAATAAATTAAAGAATTCAATATTCTCCGAGAGAAATTAACAATAAGCGTTTCATTTCTTATTCTTATAACGGGGAACGAGAAAGCCTGCGGAATATTTTTCTTTTTCACTGACTCCCCTTTAGATTCTGCATAAAGGAAGACGATTTGAAATTTTCCCATATCTTTAAGGTCGTTTGTAAATGATTAAATACAGTTGTCAGTTAAGCTGATTTGTGTTTTTGTAATTTGGGTCATGAACACTAATGGGTGCGGTACAAACCTCCACTCTAATTTTCTCGCCTCGTTAATGACCGACGAAGAACGTACAAATGCCAAATTGATACCCATCTGTGTCGCTTATCGATGCAGATGTCACAGTACAAAGAGAAAAAAGTAATCATTACATTTACCATCAAATAAAATTCTGAAATTATGTATCTATTTGACAAAATGTACCTCACGTCCTAAAAAAAATAAATCACAACATTCTACAGGATGTCCCGTCTGAAATGCCAAAACCAAATTATACGTCCACATCACGTAAATCTGCAACTACAGGGTGGCTCGCTCTCATCGTCGGCATTACGAGACCCCCCTGCAGTTTATACAACAATATTTTGGAAAAATGGCGACGGTCATTGTGTGCAATTTTCGGTATCTTTTATGGTAAAGGAATTCTGATCAGAGGGGTCTTAAATACAACACCCTGTATAATGAAAGATATGCACAAAGTTGAAATAATTAGTATACAACACTACGAAAAGCAAAAGAACAAATCTGTTTGCCCTTTATGCGATTTTTTTATTATTTTACAAGGAAATTATTGAAAACTGCACCACTAAAAAGTTGCTTAAATAAATAGGTATTTTTATGTATAAAATTTAAAACTTTTCCTTTAGTATTACGTTTGGTATGGAAATCTCATTCTTTTTACATTTACCCTGCAGTACTATAACAAAGTAAATAATCTTTTATACATCCATGCGGTCTGACATCTCAGGGATGAGATATACATAGGATCTCTCAATGCCTTAACGATGTTAAACATAATTTAATGGTCGGTATTGTAGTGTAGCTCCAAGGGAAATGGAAATTCTATGTAAAATTCCATTCTACAAGGAAGCGTTTCTGCCATACATCATTGCATACTTCGGCAACGTAAAATCTGTCAAAAGCTTCATATTTGATTTAGTTAATTAAGGGTCGCAGAGGAGCTCCCTATATAAAAGAGGAAGTTGGGCTTAATTCCAAGGTAGGTAGTTTCAAAACTCATGACTGTCTCCCAGTTTAAGTAGTGTGGATAAGGTAATAAACATTATTTCTGCAGTTCCAGAGTAGTTTCCTCGGAAATATTTACACAATGTATCCCAACGTTTTTATTGGCAGGCATTATGTGTTTATTCGTACTTGTAATACAAAAAAACTGAGGCGCCCACCCTTCCGACTGTGCCTACCTACATAAAAAAAACTGATAATTTGTGATTTTCTGTTCAGGGCGATAAAAAGAGAGAAACGGCAATTCCAAACGAAATTGTATCCTGTACGACCTGTGGGGCAAATCCGTGCACTCACACGGCGAATAATGGATGTGCGACAGAGGTAAAACGTTACATTTTAACACAAACATAGCAGAGTATGGCTTTTGCACGTTATTACATTTTAGGCAAACGTTGCTTCACTTTCTTAACTCCTCCCTTAACGTCCCCATGTACTAACCTGGAGTAGTCATGTTTATTGCAGGTACGGAAAAAGGAACCCCCTCATCCGATTCGTGTGGCAAAAACTATAGACGTGATCGCACGGGTCACTTTTCCAACGGCGTTCGCAGTGTTTCTCATTTTCTTTTTCTGTCATTACAAAAGTTTCAATGAGTCGCCTCATTCGCAATAATAGTTTTGGTTAAGTATGAACAATGCATAAGTGCTTTCGTATGAAGACTAAACAATACATATCATATTGTAAAAGGTGGTGAACTTATGAGAAATAAAGGGAACAAAGACAGTATAATGTTGTGGGTTAGTAAGTATTATTTATTTATTTAATTTATTACGCGTACTGTATACGTACTATTCTCGATACTACATAAAAGTTCGCAAAACGTGTAGCTTTAACGCACTGTACATATGTACTTAAGGGAATTACCTACTTTGTTTAAAATACGTGTATAACCATGTAGTAGGTACCGCAAAATTTTAGAAGTACAGCAAGTGCATTATTACTTATTGTGATATTAACATCGCGTTATGATAATAACAAAACAAGTATGCAAATGGATTTAATGAAAAAATTTAAATTTGTTTACGGATGGGAGAGCTTTATTAAATATTATGACGAAGAGGAAGATTAGTTGAACATTCTTCATATACATTTATTATATACGTGTTCTTAATATATGCTATTGATAATCTAAACACTTTTTGTACTTTTCGGAATGTAGTCTATTTAAATTGTAAAAAGTATATTGATGCCGTTATATTGTTGTTACGAATACAATGTGTAACAGAAAGGTAAACAACCAATATTCTAAAATTCAATTACAACGAAGCAACGTAAATGTATTTCGCCAATCATTTTCACAAATTACTTTGGGATAATTAGTGAATTGTGTGAAAATAGACAAACATTCAAATTTCAGCAATAAATAATATAAATCACAACTTTGCATTAATCAGATCACCAACTTATTGTATAAGTGTAACAGGACAAGTAATACGCAATGCAATGAATAAAAATTGAATCAACAATTCTAAACTTCTATCGGGTGTCTTAATTCTAAAAGATTTTACCTATTCTGTTACACATTGTATTACATCATAAACCGTAAAATTTTAATAACATTTTGAATGCGTTCAGCTTGGCTAAACGTATAGTAATAAACAAATTGATACAAACAGTGGCAATCAATATATTTTACAGACTAAGATTTGCTAAAACCCTATCGCGGCTTTTAGTATATTTTTACTACATTTACACAATTAGGTACCTATATTTGCTAATGTGAAAGGACAGCAGTGCCCGTAATATTAGTGCATCAATTTGAAAGGGTGCGAGTCAATCAACCTAACAGTAATTTGAGTAACTGGTTTAAAGGGCCACTCGCTACTCGCTTTTAGCAATACGTTAATCTGGTTTATCAAATGATCCATCCATGTATCTAACGATAATTCTAAATGACAATTGAGTGTTTTGCTATTCTGTAAACGGTTTGTTTGCTGTTTAACGATTAGAGTAGATACATGAGTAATGAAAGGTGCTTTTCTGTAGATGTAATTATTCTGCATTTAACTCGTTAAAATTGTAAAAAAGGTTATGTTAAAATACGGAGGTATTCTCTGTGTGATTGTTGCAGGAATTTGACCCATTATTGTCGAACAAAGTCTAATTATTAAGGGTAGTTTGTAATTAATTGTTACTTCACGTACTAAAACAATGTATATAGTATATAAAACCATCAAGTCGAAAATATTATGTAAATGTATTATTAACTAACTATATAGTTTAGCCCGTAGCATGCCAACATGCACGAGAGAGCAGACACTGTGATTAAACAGGCTGTAAAGCTTTGAACCAATTAATAACTACTAACATTATACTGCTATTACGTAATTTACTCATACATAACCTTTAAACTTCTAATACATACAATATTTAATCTAATTTTTCTAGACATAGTATGGTAGATACACAACGTACGTAACCATTTCTGGACAGTAGACATCACGATTTCCAATCAGTTACGTACGAGGCAATTTTGTAAAAAATGTGATTTGCAAACGTGAAATTCCAGGCACAACATTATACTTGCACTTTATAATACTCAACATGTCTGTAAATAACATTTAATATAAAATCAATTTTTACACCCCCAAACATTTTACGAACCCTATTGAAGCTTAGCATTAAACACCACCCTTACGTACTTATTGTATACTCATACAACCTCTTGATTTTTGATATTTATAATTTAGTGCAATATTACCTCTAGTCACTGCACCATTTATTTATAAACCTTATCATGTATATTAGGCAACACCGCGTCTAGTCATAAGTCAATAAGAGAAAATCGCAATTTATAACAATTAGTTACACACTTATCTAACTGCATGTATGTGCGAACATCGAATTATTATATTAAATATTATATTTAAAACACTATAAATGTTCTGTTAAAAAATAAAAAAATAAATAATTGTTTTTTTATTGTTGTTCAGATTGTCCTATTGAATATTATTTTATTAACGGGGATGGATGAAGACATACTCTTGAATTTTCAAAAGAACTACTAAATTGGTTGTTCTTTGACTGCGGTGAACCGAAAGTGGGGAGAAAGAGCAGGTTATTGTCGTTCATCTTAAATGAAAATCTAAAAAATAAATTTGGCTGTCGAAAACCCCTCTAAAAATCTAGAGTCCCTATTCCGTAGATAACTTGAGTAAGTGTATTCTACTTATGTATAATCCGCTGAATCCGAAAATCATTGTTTCCCTGGCCAGAAACTTCCGAAACATATAAATTGTTATAAACGAAGAAAAAAGGGGAAAATGTTTTTTTCGGATTTGACTTCAATTATCTCGTTAACTATTGCTCTGAGGGAATCGAGTTTTTCATAAGATTTAGTAGGTTTCGAATGTAATTGTTTTTTATGGAAAAATATAATCCCGAATATTAACAATTTGTTATTACCACAAACAACGTTATTACTAAGTAAAATTCGAGATAAAATTCATACGATCTTTTTGAAAATTCGTATTTGGTCACTTCTTTTGATAACAAAACAATATGACAAACCCGATCATCGTCAGTTTTATTTCCTATCTTTTAAGCTAGGAGAAAGAAAAACGAAATTTGACATTTTCATATTTGTGGTTATATCTCAGTTATTTTAAAGAATTTTCCAAATTCCAATTCCTTTTTTTTTAAGTCACAAAAATTACTTTGCCCCCATTTAACCTACACTGTATCTCTCACCGTTACGGAGATCCCAGTGGTGACTGGTGAGTCACGAATTTAAACCATTTTGAATGATAAGAAGTATGTATTTCATTTAATATTACATTATTATTGTTACCTACAGGGCCAGTTTTTATGTTACCGTTAAGCCCGTCCAACAGATTATCTATCAGACAAATTTAACTGAAACCTAAAAAACCAGACCAGAATCTATATTTGTGGCGCTCAACTCTTAAAAATATGGAGATTACCCGATCGAAATATGAAATAAATATATAAACACAGAAACAGATTTTACTCATATTTATTATCCATCAATAAATCTACAACTCAACTAAATATAGACTCATTTCCACACCACCCATGAGGTAGAGTTAATGGCGCGTTTTTTTTAACGTGGTATCCCCAGTAGGCCTAATCCACATCTTGACATAAATCAAAATCACACACAAAATGTAGGCCGCGGGCCCAAGTACCAAGACACTTTCTTATAGGTTACACTAACCAACTTCTCCTGGTCGCTGGGCTTTAATTTGATGAAAAGGCCCTGCTTTCTTCCAAGGTGATTTGTAGTAACCGAGCCCGTTTCTGTGTAAGCTATAATACTTTTTTTTTAATGTCTCGAAGTGTAGCGATATTCGAGTTACATGGAAATAAATCAAATAAGTTTCCATTCTTCCGTGCTATGACCTTAGATTATGCAAAAAATCTCAAACAGTGTCTTCCTACAACGACACAGGTTGTGTTTTGGACAACTTTTGTATTTTTTTGGGTCACCGTTATTCTAATTTCTCTATCTACAGTTATTATCATTGAATATCAACCTGATAAAGATTGAAATTAGCTCAAACTAGGTAACAATGCGATACAAAAATAAACCGCAATGCAGCATCCGTTTCGATTTTTAATACCATGGGACTATCACATCCCCTTGCAGTTTGTCGGTTTGCGAAACGTCTTTTTAAAAATACAATTACATTAAGCACGAACTTTAAACTTTATTCGCTATCCTATGTAGGGAATTCGAGCAGTGCTATATTATTATACACAATTGTACATACTTTCAATGCATCTCACACATACATTTAGATTTAAGTGAATTGAAAAGTTTAAAAAAGGTACAAAGCAAAAGGTACAGTAGCGGACAAAATTAATGAACCTGATATATCTACTCCAAATTAGCACATATGATCAAATTTTGCTACCTCAATTGAAATTATTATAACAAAAATTTAAAAGTTGGGAAACTTTCAATTGGACATATGTTTTCTGTGTTAGTAAATATTCCTTAGACCTTAAGAAATTATGCAGATGAGAATTTGCGCATGCGCAACTCAACTTTTGTATATGCGCATGCGCAATCCAATTGCTTTATTTGGTAAATAATTCAAAAAATTGATTTTATAAGCTCTGCTGGTCTAGTGGGACAGAATTACGACGAATGAGTAGCTCCAGTGTTAAATTAAACAATTATGGCTCAGCGTACCTCCTATCATATCATATCACTGTAATAATACGAATATTATGGAATTCGAATTGTGCAAACTTTAATTTTGTTTCAGCGACATCTAACGCATAAATCAATAAGCGTCATATTACAGTTTTAAACGATACATGTTTATACTGCTCCACAATAGAGGGCGCCTTTAAGTATACCTAAATTTGTTTCCCAAAAAATGCATAAGGTTAGCAATCTGTGTATGCTTAGATCTGTGGACTTCTCAATCAAAAGTTATAGACTAGAAACCAATTTCGAAAAAAAATTCAAAGGGCTGTAACTTTTGAACTAGTAGCGCAATCTTGGAACTGTTTGAAATTATGGATTCTACAGGCCACATTCTATAAGAAAATTTTTTTCCGGGTCGATCTGAGACAAATTTTTTTTTTCGGGGCTCGAAAAAAGGCAGTGTATAATCTTCCTTTTTTACCAAAAATCGACTACACCAAAATTTCTCGGGAAAACACTTTTTCTTATTAATTTGGGTGCGTAGAAATCCAAATCAATTCCTACTTTTTCGATCAGACTTCTCAATCAAAAGTTATAGACTAGAAACCAATTTGAAAAAAAATTCAAAGGGCTGTAACTTTTGAACTAGTAGCCCAATCTTGGAACTGTTTGAAATTATGGATTCTACAGGCCACATTCTATAAGAAAATTTTTTTTCCGGGTCGATCTGAGACAATTTTTTTTCGGGGCTCAAAAAAAGGCAGTGTATAACCTTCCTTTTTTACCAAAAATCGACTGCACCAAAATTTCTCGGGAAAACACTTTTTCTTATTAATTTTGGTGCGTAGAATCCAAAACAATTCGTACTTTTTCGATCAGACTTCTCAATCAAAAGTTATAGACTAGAAACCAATTTCGAAAGAAAATTCAAAGGGCTGTAACTTTTGAACTAGTAGCCCAATCTTGGAACTGTTTGAAATTATGGATTCTACAGGCCACGTTCTATAAGAAAAATTTTTTTCCGGGACGATCCGAGACAATTTTTTTTCGGGGCAAAAAAAAGGCAGTGTATAACCTTCCTTTTTTCCAAAAATCGACTGCAACAAAATTTCTCGGGAAAACACTTTTTTTTATTAATTTTGATGCGTAGAATCCAAAACAATTCGTACTTTTTCGATCAGATTTCTCAATCAAAAGTTATAGGTAGACTAGAAACCTGCAATTTCGAAAGAAAATTCAAAGGGCTGTAACTTTTGAACTAGTATTGGAAATTATGGATTCTACAGGCCATGTTCTATAAGAAAAATTTTTTTCCGGGTCAGGGTCCGCATGTGAATGGGACCTTTTACAAAAGACTCAGGGTTTTCTTTGAAATTTCGCCCTTGAGTACTTATGGACCTTCAAAATAATTAAATAGTGCTAAGCATTGACTGTATTTAAAACCAAAAAGATGATCCATAGCGGTCAATATTAGGGCCTCTTGCTGAAACCCGGAAAAATTAAAAGAACGTGCTATTTTGCCAGTACCTATGGTCTCACACCCCTTTCAATGAACTAGATGAGTAAAATCGAATTTTCTTACACAGTTGGGACATTTAAAATCGAGACGTACCTTATTTACTTACTTTGCCTTCAGTGTCACCCTCAATTCGCATTCTAAGAAAACTGTTCATGGAATGGATCCTCTCTGTCAAAGATCAGAACCATTTTACTTGTTATTTGATCTTCTTATCTACCAACAATAAATAGCAACACCAACAAAAATGTTTAATAGTTTTATTTTTCACAACAATAAAAAAAAGATACAAAACAAAGCAACAACTACTATCATATGTGACGACAACTTTACATTGCATCAAAATGGAATCGATGGGACTCTTGCAACCTCTCCCGTTTATCCTCCTGCCGTTCCTTCCAATGCAAAACTCCAATAATAATCGTTATCAAACCGCAGACGCCGGTTAGCGCCGCGACGGATGTCAAAATAACTTTACTAGGCGTGACGAACAACTGCGCCTTCCATTTGCTAGGCTGCGACGTCGGCATCGGTATTACAACCATCTGACAGTTGGGAATAATCTGCGTCCAGTCTTTAGAGTAGTTCGACAGCCCTACGGTTAGCGTATCAACAAAATTGGGTGTTCGACCCAGTCCGAAAATGGTATAAGGTAAATTAAGACTGAAATGGGCCGATTGCGGTAACTGCGCCGAAATGGCGTGGCGGCTGTTTCCCTCTTGGGTTGTCGTCCGATACGAAATGCTCGGCCCCGGCAAGTTTGTGCCATACGTTCTTCGTTTCTTACCAACTCGCCCGTCGATCATGTGATTATTATTATTACTAAGTCCCGTTAATACCATTAATTTAATAAAATTAGCGTCATAATCTAAGCTATTTTTAAATGCGACTGTTTTATACTCGGTTATGTTATTTTCGACTAATATCACATCCAAAATACCGTCTTGGTAAAAGTCAAAGAACACCGCCATTACGGTACCGTTTTTGAATGGTTGCAAGGCGTTCCATTGAACTTGGTAGGTGCGCGAAAAGCCGTCACAGCCGCTTTCGCAAGCAATATTTTCAAGCAAGAAAGACTGGGTATCCGAAGTTTGGCTCAGTTCGAGTGTGGCTAAGATATCGGGATATCCGTCCATGTTGAAATCGCCGCAATGTAGCGTGATCACATTCGTATACTTCCTCCCTTCGCGCAACGAGAAGCCCCAAACGTTATCATTCGTCTCCTTAAAATTCACCTCCAGATTGTGCCACGTTCCGTTATGATACACCAACAGAGCGCTGTCGCGACAGTTGTCATCATAGCAGACCGGGGTTACCAGATCCATGCGACCTAATAACTCGACGTCGAGGAAAACGGATTGACCGATTTTCTTCGCTCGCGGCGGATGCGGAATCGTATGGGAATAAACGAATCTCTGTGATTCGCTCCCGTACCATATCTCAAAGTCTTTTTTAGTTGTAATGAAAATATCCGCCATATAATCGTCATTTATATCTACAATAAAAACACTTAATTCAGTCACTTTCTTGTAATGTGAAAGAATATTGTTACTATAAGAGATGTGTTATCGATTAGAAGCTGTTTTACTACTGTTTCTACAAATTGGAGTTTTGGTGTACATGACATCCTACCAATTTTTGAGGAACCGAAGATGAAGAAGAAGACACAAATAATAAAAATCTGAAAAATTTGCTTGATATAAAGAATGGGCAGGTTCGACATTTTTTATTTTAACTGAAATCAAAAGATTTTGTTATTAAAAACGAACAGAAAAAAAAATTGGTGAAAAATATTGATATTTACGTCCGCCGTAAACACTTGCGGCAAATGTTTCTGGCTACTGACGTCACGCGGGGTAGTCTCGCGCACAGGTACGTTTACAACATCTCTCGCTTTTAGTTAAAATAAAACAAATACCAAAAATGTCGAACCTCCCTATTCGCAAAAAAGAAACAACATTGCAATTTGAAGGCCACCATAAATTCAAAAAATTCGGGGATTCTGGCGAAGTTAAAGAATCTTGAGATTTTAAAGAATTACATACAAGCATAAACAAATAAAAAGGTTTTCACCCTAAGGCGAGTAACTTCAGCGCATTTTCCATGATTGATCAGTACTTCACAAAAGGCCATAGCTATGTCCGATGTGATTTTGTTTACTAGAGGCATATATGGTTAAAATTTCAAAGAAATATCTCCATAACTGAGAAAGTTGTCATTGCGCAGTCTGCGCATGCGCACATTTGATTTTTACTATATGCGATATGTTTGCCTTCACCAGAAATATCTGTGGTTAAAATTTCAACAAAATATATCAATAAATAAGAAAGTTGCACAGCCTGCGCATGCGCACATTAATCTGACGTTTACAATATGCGATACTTTTGCTTACACTCAAAGGATCTTTGGGTAAAATTTCAAAGAAATACCTCCATAAAGTTTTTACTCACAGTTGTAGAAGTAAAAAAAGGCATAATCATGTGTGGTTTAATCATCATCTCAAAAATATGCACGACGTTTTGATGGTGCTTAATACGCACAACAGGAGAGTACAGGATGACCATACTCGTCAGCTTGTAAGTAAGTACCGTAAAGTATATAAACGTGAATTGAAAAAGGCTAGAATAGCTGCCAATGACAAATTTATTCAAAAATCTAATTGTAAATCAAGAGCTATATGGCAAATTATTAAGCAGGGTGCATCTGATGTTTTTCTTGAAAGTAGTAATTTGACATCTGAGCAATTCAACAACCATTTTGTTGAAATTGCAGAAAATATAAGATCATCACTTCCTAATGAGAAAAATAATCCGATGTTCTACTTTAATAGTTATCATATAAATAATTCTACATGCTTTAATTTTTGTGAAGTATCTTACAATGATGTGCGAGATAGTGTCAATAGCATCAATAACAGTAATAGTAAAGCTCACTATGGCTTAACTGCAGACATTATTAAATCTGTGCTTAATGTAATTTTAATTCCACTAACTAAAGTAATAAATGCGTGCATTCGGGAATCAATTTACCCTGACACATAAAAGATATCAAAAGTTATTCCTTTGTACAAGAAGGGAAATAGAGATGAGCTGAATAATTATCGACCTTTGTCAATTACTCCCATTTTTTCAAAAATTTTTGAAAAATTATTTAAAAAACAATGGATTACTTTGAAACAAATAACCTATTTGCTAATAACCAATTCGGTTTTCGTTACAAACAATCGACAAGTAGTGCAATATTGAGGTTTACGGATTACATTTTGGATTGTTTTGAAAATAGTGAGTTGTGTGTTGCCAATTTTTTAGACCTAACAAAGGCTTTTGATTGTGTGACTCACTCTTGCTTGTTGCAGAAGCTGTCAAAATATAATTTTGTGGACAAATCAGTTGCATTATTAGAGTCGTACCTAAGTAATCGCACACAATATGTTTATTTTAATGATTCCGAATCTAATTTTAAAGAAATTAAAAAGGGAGTGCCGCAAGGTTCGGTACTTGGCCCTGTGCTCTTTTTGATATACTTTAATGACATTACAAATGTTAGTCATTGGAAAGAATTGATTCTGTATGCAGATGACACTACCCTTTTAAGCAGATGTAAGAATCTGTGTGATTACACTACCAGTTTACTTAATAGTATTAAAGATTGGCTAAATGATAATAAATTGCACATAAATTCACAAAAATCGCAAACATGTACCTTTAGTTTAAAAGAAATAAACCATTTCAATAACCCAGCAAACATAAACTTTCTGGGTGTTTACATTGACCCTAAACTGAATTGGAATGATCACTGTAATAAAATTGCATCGAAACTGTCAAAAGCATGTTTTGTTTTAAGAAGTTTAAAAATGATTGCCTCTAGACATATTGTCATTAATGCGTACTATGGTTACTTCCATTCGGTTATGAGTTACGCTATAATTGCATGGGGTCACTCGGCAGGTATTAAGCGGGTCTTTGCAATCCAACGACGTGCATTGCGCATTATTAGTAATTTGGGATACAGAAGCTGTTGTAAAGGTAAATTTATCGAATATGGTATTTTAACTCTCCCTTGTGTATACATATTAAATTGTATAATTCACTGTAAAGAAACTCATTTGAATTACCAGACAGGACGTGATATCCATCAATACTCTACCAGACTGTGTGATAATATTGCTTTAAAACGAATACGCCTTACTACTAGTAAAAATTGCAACAATTATTATTGCATAAAGTTTTATAACAAAGTACCCTCGGATTTAAAAACACTGCCTATGAGTAAATTAAGAAATGCTGTGATTAGTTACCTTAAGAATAACGCTTTTTACACTTTTGATGAGTTCCTACTAACTGATTGGTGTTCTAATATTCTGTGATATTTTGTCTATTTTACTTAAGTGTTTTACAGTATTTTAACTTGACCTTTTTTTTATGTTATTTATATGTATAAATTGCTCTGTTAGCAGATGCACTAGTTTATAGTAAGTTGACGACACTGATATAGTTTATATACTATGATAGCTGGAACATTTAAAGATTAAAGATTAAAGATTAAAGATAAATAAGAGAGTTGCCATTGCACAGTCTGCGCATGCGCACAACTGATTTTGACAATAGCGCACCCAACTTCGTTGGAAAATGCGCTAAAAATAACTCAATTTATATGAATGTTTATGTTAACCCCTGTAACTTGACCTTTTGATCCCAAATTCAATAGGGTTCTTACTTGGACCAAAACCAAAAGAAATTTATCGCTCTCTTGTTCTATATACAGAGTGGCCCAACGAGAAGTATACAGAGGGCTTTTAGGGTATTAAATTTAGAAATTTCGAAAAATCCTCGAACACGTTAATTTTGTATTCGAGGGGGACAACTTTTAGAATACAAATCACGAACCCAAGTCTTCACCCCTCTACATAGGGAGCTTAACCCCTAAAATTTTAAATGGAATCCTATGGCAAATGGCACATTATTTGAAAGCCAATTTAATCGTGATTACTAATCTGCTTTGCTTTTTAAATTCTATTTCGAAATTTCTAAATTTAATACCCTAAAAGCCCTCTGTATACTTCTCGTTGGGACACTCTGTATATACCAAGTGGGGAGTCTGAAGAATAGGAAGATTGAAAGAAACCAAAAACAACGTTAAAAATAGTCTAATTTCTGAACAGGAAGAATTAAAGAAACACGAAAAGAATCTGAAGAATTAGAAGAATTCGAGACCTGAAGAATTTGAAGCACCATAAAAATATGAAAAAAGAAGAATATACAAAATTAGAAAAAATTTCAAGGATTAGATTAACTTGAACAATTTTATGACTAAGAATCTGAAAAACGCGAGGAACCCGAAAAATCAGAAATATCCAATTGGTAATCTGAAGAAGCCTGGATCATCAAAGAGAAGGCATATTTTGAGAACTCAATTTTTTATATTTACACTCAAAATGAGATAAACACTTACCTAAGAAAGCATGAGCATGAGGCTTCATTAATTCCGTTGTCGGTCCCCCCGTCATACTTATTTTCTTCGGAGCACCTCGATGACTATCGAACACCCAAAATGTACGGTTACCGTCAACATCCACACCAAACAAATCGATAATCATATTTTGATTATAATCTAAAGCCAGCGGTTGACCGATCAGATGTAAAATTGGCTCGTCGTTTTTGCTACAATTTAAATACGTACCACCTCCCCAAATAATATACAGGGAGGTGTAAGATGTTTTGTGACTGTTATCGTTGGTTGGTCTCTTTTCGATGGTGGTCACTGCAAAATCCATCAACGCGTCGCCGTCAAAATCGCCCGGCACGACGCTCGTTATAAGATTTGTGAAATTGCACTGTAACGGGGGTTTCGCTCTGCGTAGCAGAGGTTCTTCATCGTGACCGAGCAGTATTTCCACAGTCTTTCCGTAGTTTCGCAGAACAAAGACGTCGGTCAATTCGTCCGAATCAAAATCGCCGAAAGCTGCTGGCATTCCGTCCGTCGTCGTCCCGAAGGCTACATTTGTTATATCACTACAACGGCAATGAAAGATTATCATCGACAACGTCCACAATACGTGAAAGTGGGGCAACATTTTTAATTGTCGATTGATATAGTTGGAAATTAGGTAACAAAAATATTCATTATTTCATTAAAATTTATACAATCAGCTGTGCAAAACATTTGTCATTTGCCATAAACAAAAAAAACATGGCCGCTATTGTAGTCACAGACCACAAACCAGAGACTATAGCCATTGTTCAATACCCTGTGTTTCATAATTGTTGTATTATGGCATTAAAGTGATCTATAGCAAATATTCCACTCCTGAATTAATTGTATTGAAGAAAAGTTGATGAAGTCAGCCATTGAGTCAAATAACGTTGCGGGAGATAGGAGCTACAGATTTGTATCTGTAATCTGTATCCATATTTAAACGGGACTCTTCAATTCAATTTTTGTACCTACGTTGAAAGTATTGTTCATTGTTTAAAAATTGAATTTGTACATTGCAGATGTATAATTTATTGATGTTAATAAGTTAAAAACGTCCATATTTTCTTCTTTAATTTATGTTGAACGGGTTGAGCCAAGAGACGGAAGGAATATTGGAGATCTGCAGTGTGGTTTGTTTTATGTCTCTTTGTTGGAAAAAAATGGCATATTTTAAAAGCGCCGTAATTCGGTAACTAATTGACCTACAGAGGTCCGGTTGGGCGTAAATTGTCACACATTTAATGCTTTTCAAAAACGTATATAGCGGCTTTCGACGAAAAAGGCATAGTTTAGGAAATATAGAACAAAAACTTAAAAAAGCCTTAAAATGTTGCGGTTTTACTCTACTCGTGCAGCAGTTGAGTTGAAGCTCGACAGTGACAGCGGTACTAATAATAAACTAAGCTTCAACACATTCTTTAAAAAAAAATAATTTTGTTGATATTTATGTATTAATTTATTTACAAATGAGCCACGCACGCGCAATGTGAGAGTTAGATTAATTTCTAGATGCCAGTGGGTACAACAACCACAAGCAACCTAGCCAATGTTACAATAACATAACCTAAAAAATCAAACGTGCAAGTTTGTATAAATAAAATGGGTAAAACAAAAAAGGATAATGAAAACGATGACAGTATCATCAATAAGGAGGAAACAGAAGATATTCCATACGAACAGAAAATACAAAACGCGTGTGTTATTGCAAAACCGATGGCCTCCAAAAAGCTAACAAAAAAGTGCTACAAACTTCTTAAAAAAGGTAAGAGAAGCCCTGCCTTCTCGCATTAAGGTTCTCTTTGTTAGCGTCCAAACATAAAACGTACGTCCGGAACGGATTAAAAGATGTACAGAAGCGAATACGTAAGGGCGAGACGGGAATACTATTTTTTGCCGCCGATATATCGCCAATCGACATAATGATTCACCTCCCTGGCGTTTGTGAAGATAAAAACATTCCGTATTGCTACACACCCAGTCGTGCAGATTTGGGCGCAGCATTGGGACTGAAACGAGGTGCGTTGCTTGCTTTGGTTCGTGAAAAGGAGGACTACAAGGAAATATTTGACGAATTAAAGCAGGAAATAAGAACGTTAGCTGTAGAGTTATAATAAAAATGATTTATTTCATAATTTGCGCAAATACATTGGACAAGAATTACACAATAATAAAACGTTTTTTTTGATTATTGACTGACCTACATCGATTGTCAATGAACACAACTGAAAAGGATCTAGACGGAAACCGTACGCAATTCCTATACTAAATCAGTTTGTGTGATCTAAGTTTTTGTTACGTTTAAATAAAAAATCTTAAGCGGGTTAATGAGGAATGGTTTCTACTAGATCCCAATTAAAATGTTACCACAAGTGTTTTTTTCTGTAGAAGAAAAAGTAGTTGCTTCACCTTGATGAATCAATTTAGACAGCTTACAGCCGTTGGATTTTGCCAATTGTTAAAACACACCATTTAATACATATAAGACTGGCACATATTACTTGTATATTATTGGAAATATGGATGCTTCGAAGTAAGTCACAGTAGACTCGCACAAAGCATCCATTATCTTACAAAGGCTCACTCTTAAATATTTCAGTCAATATGGATGGAATGCAAATTTGAGAAAAGAAGCGTGCGAGTAAAGAAAAACATAACGAGTGAAATCAAATCTCGTAAATGTATCAAATATAATTTTTTTACTTCTTTTTTATTTGGTACATTCATAAATTCCTAATTGACTACAATGTTCGTAAAAATTGGTCCTAAAATAAACAGGAATGTGATTATTCGTTAACGAGATGAAGCACAATTTTAGTTCGGTGTGGTCCAAAAAGTCTGCGCGTATGAAACCAAAAAGGAAGATATGCATGTAATTTGTATCGAGGGCTGCACAAATATTTTTTTATACATCTATTTACTTCTTGAGCTCATTTGTTCCATTGCAGTTCCTTTAATACACTACTGTACAGTCTGCATAAATATTCTACTCCATCAGGACCTAGCCCCGCAACTCCAAATTAGGAATGTTCCATAATTAAGTGGATAGGAGTGTGAAATTTATTGTGGGGGGCACAGTCTATTTAAGTTCAGCCCCCTCCACCATTTTGATTTAACTATTCCAAATCGAATGTTTATACATTAATTACTTACACATTATAATACTAGAACTTGACTTTTAAAACAGCAAGTCGGATGAGAAGCGTGTAATTCACATATAAAATTAAATTTGAAATAGATTGGGGGGGGGTCCAATTAGGTCTCCTGCTATTTTAAAATAAATAGGGTGATTGATGGAAAATTTTTTTTAAAGATTTGGAAAGTTTTTTTAAATACTTCCTTCATACTTGGGTAGACATCCGACAAGGAGTAGTTTAAAGGTACTATCATTGAATTTATAAATTCAATGGTACTATATTTTTTTGATAATATCAATCAGCGAGCTATATTCCCATAAGACTAGAATAATTTGCTTGGTATGAAAGCAATAAGGAAAAAACTGAGAAAATGGCATTTCCACTGTGTCAACTTGTTTTTAAAGCTTTGCCGAGTTCAAGCATCCGAAACAAAGATCTGTCTTTTTACCATGCAGTCATATAAGGATGCCCCAAAGGATTTCATGGCAGGCTGTGGCGCCCTCTAGGAAGTATGGGACCCCATACATATAAATGACTACATTTTATTCATCTATTAAATGGGCATAACTCGCTTAAGGTTACTCAGAAATTAACAGAATTATTTTTTGAAAGACATTTTGTGAGTTTGATCCAGTGGTAAAGGTGCTTATATTCCAGATACAGCCAAATGTTACAAAATAAGTACCCCTCAGCGTTGGGGATTTTTTATATATGCCCACCCATGTGTCAAGAGCGTATTTAAAATGTTTTCTTTTACAAAATTTGTGTTATTTCACTGTATCATCTTTTAATATTTGTAAAATTCTGGAATTGAGTTGGAATTATGTGGGGGAGGGGGTTAGGTCCAATAATGGGGTGAAATCTTACAAAAAAATATTCGTGTGACTTGTCTACATCTTCGTAAGTTAGGGAATAACTTTTTGGCTCAGACCATCATATCACAGTTCTCAGTGATGGAAATTCGATCAAAAGCAGCCGCGTGTGTGAGTATTATAGACGTAACTACGGATTGCTCAAATCGATGTTTCAATTGGACAAACACCATTATATTATATTAGTTATATGATAGAGATATATTCTATTCGAATTGCTAATTGAGTGTGCCGAGTAGTAATGTAAGAAAGTAACGTTATATAATGTGGTATTATGAACACGAATATACAATCGAGTAGTTTGAAAATAATAAAGAACACATTTTATAAAAAGTAGTCACAGCATATGCTTTAAAGATGCCCAGCGAGAGCTGGATCGGATTCAGACTTGCGTGAGAAGCATAAACAACCCGAGCTTGATTTAAGCGCATGTTTATTTTCACGATCACGTTCTACTAAACACTTTTGGTAGTAGTCGTAATCTTTCAAATACCAAACAGGCGGCCATCGATGTTCGACCAAGTACGCCTGATTGTCCGGGTGCAACAAACGTAGGCTTCGAGGAGACATACGACACAATTTATTATAATTAACACACAAATGGTTCATACACCAATCAGCCAACTGATGAGCATTGTGTAACTGCAATCAAATCGTGTCACTATTACGGTCATCAATTTTCGTATACAAACCTTAACAGGCTCTAATAAACGTAAACACTGTTCGATAGTTTCCGACATTTGAAGCCGTTCTAAATCTTCGATAACCCGTTTCTCCACTAAATTGACAAGACGCGGCAAGCATAATCTATTACCTAATTCCAATAAATTAACACACCGACTCGCCGACACCCCGGGAATGTCGTCGGTGTACAAATAATACAACAACTTGTGGAACGTGTACTCTCTCACTCCGGGAAATTCAATCTGTATTAGACACATCAGAGACGACAAGCTCGTTCGATGCAACTCACCACTTTGGCCTGACTCTCACGGAAATCGCCGCCGAACATCGCCTTCATCACTTCGCAACGTGCCGATAACATCGCCTTATGGGCCGCGCACGCGCCGTCGTCCAGCTCGAATACGATGTCGGCAAACAGGCCTTGCTCCAAACACAAATCTTGCAATTTACGTCTTAAATGCGCCTCGTGCGTTTCTTGTAATTGTGCTCCGTTACTTACATTTCCACATTGTTGTATGTTAATTAGTAACACTAGCAGTTGTGGCAGTTCCAGAAATTCGGCGGCCTGACGTGTTTCCTACACAAAAATGATACGATTTTAGATGACCACTATCAAGATTTTGGATGTTACAGAGAAATTAGAAATTTTAAAAATCATTATTTTTCGCCAAATTGTTATTTTAAAATTAGCATTTAATTTTCTTCATTTTTATATTCTTTTTCTACTTAAGGCTCCTCTGTAGTCAATCCGCCATATTGGAAAAATAGCTAAACTTTCTTATGAAATTCTGCTTTTGTAGTTGCAGTCTAACAAATTCTCGATAGTGGATACTCTTTGCAATGATGAAAAGAACGGCGGTACTTAAAAAAATTGAAACATCGATCTTAGTTTTTTAGGAAGATTGATGAATAGAAAAATCGTTTTTCGTAAATAACCGCCGTTGTAATGGGAGTAGAAAAACGTATAGCACCAATTTGGAAATCCGACAGTATTTCTTACGGCGGTACTTAAAGATATTATTTCCATCTATGATAGTAATGCATATATTTAAAAAAATATGTTTCGCGATCTTCAGAAAAAAATCAAAACGCTAACGTAAAGATAGGCAACTCAAATTGCACTTATAACGCCTGAGGCGACAACTCATTACTTGAAAGGGAAAACAAAAGAAACTACCTGGCAATACCCTACGCCGTTCCTAATGATATGGATTAGATAAATTACTATTTATTATTTATTTATTTGAATGCTGTTGATTTGTAAATCATAATGCCACATATTCCCAAGACGAAAAATGGATATCCTATTATAGGTACATTGGAAATAATTTTTTATTTCTAAAACCTTTTGCATCCCATCAGGATGCTTCAAGAAATAAAAAAAACCCTATAATGAGGCTGTAATAATATTTCCCTTTGACGGGGCGGGGGGTACTACAATACTAGGTACTTCACATATTAAATCATAAGTAGTGCTGAATATGAACTCTGTTTTATAACAATACTTTCAAACTACCAGAAGCGTAGCACTTTGTTTAGTTAGATCAAATCAAATATGACTAAATTACTCGTTTGTGTATATTTGCATCTAAAATTATCAGTTTCCTCAGATAATCCAGTATGCGGAGCAGTCAGAAGGGCCGATTCTGCAAAATGTGGTGTAAACGATTTTAACGTTTTAAATGGTCCATTTGGGTCCAAATAACATGTATTTGAAGAGTGCACACCAATTTTTTCCCGGCACAACTTTTGGCATCCAAAAAACCTTAAAACGTTCGAACTTTTTTCAATTTTTCGCTTAAAACTCGAAAACGGTTCATATTTTATGAATAACATTTCTTTATTATATTAAAGAAAACAAAAGTCTGCGTCGATAAAAAAAACTTTTCTAAAGAACTGAGTTAACCTTTTTTTAATGCGTTGTGGCTCTAAAGGAACGATAAAATCCTCTATCCCCCCCCTCCCTAAAGATTGTAGAACATCAATCAGAGAGTTCAAAAAGTACCAACAATTTAAAATTGGACCAATTTTTGAAATTCGTTGGAAAAAATTGGCGTTTTTTGATCGCTTTTAAAAATTTTTCTATTGGACCGATTTTGTTTGTTTTTTTTTATCGACGCATAATTTTGTTTTCTTTAATTTTCTAAAGAAGTGTTATTCAAAATAATGGACCGTTTTCGAGTTTTATGCGAAAAACGAAAAAATGACAAAAATTTTGAGGTTTTTTGACTGCCAAAAGTTGTGCCGGGAAAAAGTTTGTGCGCACTCTTCAAATATATGTTATTTGGACCCAAATGGGGCATTTGCTTTCCATAAAGTTGCCCCCAACAGATAACAAATGACGCATTTTTTCACTTATTAGCGGAACATAAACATAGGAAACGTCGTGGTATGTTATATAAAAGAAACGCTACCGATATAAATACAATTCCCCTTTTTAGTTAAATTCCTAAGCGGGATACGACAACTAATGGCCGACACTGACAATTTTATTTAAAACAAAGTGTCACTGTTTTGCTCATGTAAAGTCAAGTTAGTGAAAGTGGTGGATATAAAAAAATTCTTGCACTTTTAAAAAAATTCGACTATTTATCTTTCCGTTTGAGAATACCTTTTGATGGAGTCCCACAAACTTCACATCAACTTGGCGAATTTTTTTCAAATTTCCAATACTATGTAGCGACAGAAACCGGTAAATTTTTTACTACTACCTACTTCTTTTTTCTATATGGACTGATATCAACTTTATCAACAGGAATATTTGTCCCTCAAAAAATAGGAGAATCAAGTAAATTTTATTTTTACCATTGAATTCAGGGCAAAAAAGTGAAGTCATCTTACCGCACAATAGATGTTCGGAAAAATTCTCCATGGATCGTGCCTAGATATAAATAAGTAATACGCTAAATGTACAATTGTTATTAATTTTTGAAAAGATAAGGGTTTGTTTAGAATCAGTATAAATGTTATACTTTTAATCATTGTAACAGAATTTTAAATGTTAGCTACCATTTTTATGAAAAACATACAATTTTTGTTGTTGTTCACCCTTGTATATAAGTAAAGAAAGATTTATTTTAGGCGTTCGAAGTGTCGGTTTTTTTAGGATCTACCATACCTAAGTGAATTCATTCATGCACATGTCTATCTAATAATAACTATAAAAATTTATAAATCAGTAAAAATGATTAGAACAAATCACAAGAAATAAAGGGGTAATTAAAAAATGTTATAACAAACAATGCTAATCTAGTCCACTAATTACCTGAAAACCAGGCAATTTACAGAAGGTGTCATTATAGAAAAATGCAGTAAATGCATTGAATAAGTAATTTATTCAACGGTAATAGAAATAGGTATTTGTGCATCTCCAGTCAAATATTGTACAGCTTTTCGATAAACTTGTTTGCATAATTAGTCCTTGATCATTATACATGGTCTATTGTGTTTAACAATAAATGAAGAGAATATGCAAAACTGAGAAGGATAGATACATCGTTCGTTTCACTGAAGGAGAACATGTAGCAGTGTGTATTGTTGGTGGTCTAACCAATTGCAATAACACTGAAATACAAATTGACTACAGAGAAGCCTTAATACCTACAATAAAGACTATTTATTATTATTATTATTCATAAACACGTGTAGTGATGGAAAAGTAAAGATAACAATGCCAGTATAGACAACGGGTCGCCTGTTGGTGAAAGATTGAGTAGAGGTTTCATTGCGTGAGGTTGTTGATAAGGTGTGCTTTTGTTAACTTTGCGAAATAACGCTAGATGCCCGTTAAAAAAGTTCTACTTAAAAAGGTACAAACGCGAACTAAATCGTGAGCGCTTATCCGTAATAATTACCAAATAAACGTGCTCGAAATTGGATCATCCTCGGAGTCTTTGTGCTGGTGTGAAAAATTTTAAAGAAGACAGAAAATCATTACAAGCTCTTTAATGCAGAAGAAAAGGTTAGGGTTGATTGCGTTATTAACGCTTTACCGAGATTTCTAATTACCTTCTAGAGCGTTTCTGACGTTTTCGGGATATTTATAGGTGATTCTAAAGAACAAAGATACCTAAACACTTTAGGAAGGCGATAGAATGCCCTGAAGAGAGTGTATGAAGCTTTGATGAAGTTTTGAAAAGTTGTTGACTGTTTCCAGACACTTCCTCAAGAGCTTCAGCTCTTCCAGAACAAGACGAGCGTCAGAAAGGTCCTCCAACAGCGTATAAAAAAACTGTTCTGAAACAGAATAACACAACCGGAAAGGAGTTTGAAACTTATAAGACGATGGTTTTTAAAGCCGTTATACAGGTTGTTTCGAAATTCGCGCACACGGATTATGGGATAGTGTTATTCGACAAAAACTGAACAAAAAGTACCTGCACCACTTTTCCATCAGACCGCTATTTTTCGAGTTACCACGGTTTTAAAAATCTCCACCCCCCCCCTTCGCTGCGCCACTGATTAAACTTAATAACAACACATTTTTAAAAACAAAAGAAGGTTCAAAATAAACTATAATTATGACGAGTACGTAATTACAACAGTTGTTCAAAATGTCCGCCGTCTGCTAGTAAACATAAGCTTCAGCACGTCGAAAAAAAAAGTGCCGGTCTGATCAAAAACTGGTAGAGGAACTTTTTATTCAGTTTTCGTTGTATAACACCATCCCACAGTCCGTGTGCGGGAATTTCGAAACACCCTGTAGACTCACCTGACGTAGGAATTTTTAAAAAAGGTTTGAAGTTTCTCAAGAACTATACAAATGGGCTAAACAAGCCTCTGAAAATAACTTAAGTGACCAAGTGTGTCAGAAGACCTTCCAAAACCACGTATATGGTCTTCAGAGCCTTATGTAACCTTCCAGAGCTTTCAATGCCCGTCTGTCTCTGAAAAAGCCCAGAGAAAGCGTGGGACCTCTTAAATGCTATGGAAAGTTCCTGGAAAATTTCCTATCCTTGCAGAATAGTCATTTTATAATTAGTAGTATCAGATAGCATAAAAATTTCAGTGCTGGCACCGAACAGGCCTTTTTCTGATATAGTTTCTGAATATCAAAAATCGGCCCAGACCCCAAAATTTCGACCCTCTTACTACCAGTAGTTATGTCATAAAAGTGAGGGATGCATAGACATAAGTACACTCATTTTCTAATGGGCGATATTTTTAATATTGTAAATGTAAATTACTCAATTTATACAGGGTGGGCCATTAGTGTGTGGGTGGAAGATTGTGGGTTTATTAACGCACATACTTAAAATTAATTGTGGGGGAATGTTGAAGGACCCTTCAGGCTACAACCTAAAAATATTTTCAACGAAATTGCAATTGTTATACAGGGTGATTTATATCAAAGTTGCATTTTTTTTAATGGAACCCTCTGTATATTATTACATATTTGGATTCCTTGGTCAATTTTAGTATGACTTTATGTATTACATAATTATGATATCTAAATTGAGTAGTTTAGCCGCACTTCGTCGTTTTTTCAAAAAGTAGGTGTCCAGTAAAACTTGAATATCACAGTTATCATAAAACTTAGAAGGCCGTGAATTTGCAGTGGTAGTATAATCATGAAATGTACTAACATACACCGAAATACTAAATCACTAAAGTTAAACTTCTTTTGTGAAGAAATCACTCCGTCAATTTTCACATCAAATGTAGGATTTTATTACCTATTTAATAATATAAGCATATCGATATTGATCTTTTACATATTTTTTGTTATTCAACAATCTCTAATAATTCACAGGGTTTTTCGATTTCCAAAGCCTGCCAGTAATTAATAGGCCGTTAAAAATTACAAACAATTGAATTTATAAAAAATTTACTCCAAATAAAATAAAACAAAAACTTAAGAAAATCAATATAAAAAGTTTAAATAAAAATAAGAGAAAAATTATTATTTCAATATACGACTCATTTTAGATATCATGTGTAATACATAAAGTCACACTAAAATTGACCAAGAAATCGAAATATGTAATAATGTACAGGGGGTTCCATATAAAAAAATACAACTTTGATATAAATCGCCCTGTATAATAATTGCAATTTCGTTGAAAATATTTTTAGGTTGTAGCCTAAAGGGTCCTTCAACATTCACCCACAATGAATTTGAAATATGCGCGTTAATAACCCACAAGCGTCCACCCACACACTAATGGCCCACCCTGTATAAGGCACATCTGGTCGATTGCGATAAGGATTTTTATTATCAGACGAAAATTAATTATTGCATCTGTTTTATCGCTGTTAAGAGATAAGGTATTACAAAGAATTGCGCGAATCATGTCAGCAGAAGTGGGGACATGTCAAGTCGAAGCTGGTCTTATCAAAAAACCTATTGTAAATAGAGATTTATGTTTTATTTGATTTGTTGACCGCGTGAGTACAGTGTCCAACCAAACAAGCTTTTTTAAACTTTTCTTTCTTGCAGGGATTTTGATTTAATTTTTTTCACCTGTTTCGGAATAAATTTCTGTCATTACCAATCAATTAATTGTGTGTTGATTCGAATCCATTGTGCAACCCGGATAGTTTTTCATGTCCGATTTTTCTTTTCGTGTTTTCAAAATTTGAGAACTAAATTTTTTAAATTATATAAAAAAGTCGTGTAGGTTTTTGAAAAAGGCAAGCACTTTTGAAAGTCCCTAAAATCTTCGTAGACGTTTAAAAAATGTTGGGAGATACTTTCTGAACACCTTTCAGCTTTTGGATCGCAAATAGTTAAGTGGATTTTTACTCTCCAAAATTTACCAGAGGCAGTTAATTTCAAATGCTACGCTACATACCTGTAAATCGGGCTGATGATGATCGATAGTTCCAGTGTAAATAAATTGCAAGCATTGGCGAATGGCGGCCGGACTAACTAATTTTCCTAGAGTAACGACAGTTTGTCCCTCCGACTGAATTGTACGTATAGCTTGAAATGCGGGATGATCGAGCTCACGGGGAGGCGGTAAAGCTTGGCAGCTGGCGCGACGACGCCACGTTCGTTGTTCGGTCCTCAGCAAGCTCTCATTGTCATCGCTGAAATCTCCCAGGGAGCTGACCATGCTCGAATCGCTAGTACTACGCGTTATATCGGCGTTCATCTCGAGTGTAAACAATTTATAAAACGCCAGACTGGCCGACGACAGTATGTACCGGTGCGCCGAAAATCCTATGGATCCCGCCACCAAGACGACGTCCGAATGATCCTTGCTTATCCAAAGCTGGTGCAAATCCTCAGTGTACGAGCTATTGCATATATTCACCTCCGGTTTCGGGGGAGGCGGAGGTTTAAAAGGCGCCTGTAATAGCGGTCTCTGCACTTTTTTCAAATTAGTCTGCCAAAACCTCTGCTGCCGGCGAGCTTGCAAAGCGGCCCGAATCGCATTTTCGAAAACCTCGTTAACTCCAAAGTACGTCAGCACCGACGTTTCGTAATAGTACAGTCCGAGCTCTTGAGCGACGTCGCGCGCCTCGTCCGGCATAACCAAATCGCATTTACGTGTCGCGCGAACAAACGAGCTTCTATCTCTAAAGAACGTAAGGTACGCTTCGTCGCGATACATGAAACGTAAGTCGTTTTTGCACCCTACTAAAAGTACGGGCGTGTTCGGGCAGAAACGACGTATCTCCGGATACCACATCAGACGACAGTTTCGCAACGAAATCGGATTGTTTACGCTAAAACACAGGAGTACAACGTCCGAGCGTCCGTAAGCGAACCTTCTGTCTTTTTCGTGATCTCCAAATGTATCCCATAGTCGGAGCGATACGTTTACGCTGTCTACTACCTCCCATGATCTTTCCAACACCTAAAAATATATTCCACTTTAGTACATATTTACAAATTACATGGTTTCTATACTGGAACCAAGTTCGAAACTCGTTATCCAAGTCCAACTAAAGTGAAAGTACTTTTAATTTGAGCGATGAAAATCAATAAAAACCTTATTGTTTACTCTTTTTAAATAGTAGGCCATGGATTCATCGAGATTTTGATTTATTTATTGTATCCATGGTAACTAAGGCAGCCGATATTAACCAATAAAAATTGTTGACAGTAGAAACATGTCATTTCAAAATTTTGAAAAATATGATAATATAATTAAACAAGAAAAAAGGTTTTCGCCCTAAAGCGAGTAACTTCAGCGCATTTTCCATAAATTGATCAATACTTCCACCAAAGGCCATACCTATGTGCGCTATGTTTTTCATTACTAGAAGGATATATGGTTAAGATTTTAAAGAAATATCTTCATAAATAAGGAAGTTGACACTTACTGCGCAGTTGATATTGCGCGTCCTGCGCATGCGCTTATTAATCTGATATTTACAATATGCAATACGTTTGCTTTTACTATAAGCATCTTTCAAAGAAATATCTCCATAAATAAGAAAGTTGGCACAACTGATTTTTACTATGTGTGATAGATTTGCCTTTACTACAAGTATCTGTGATTAAAATTTCAACAAAATATATTAATAAATAAAAAAGTAAACATTGCGCAGCCTGCGCATGCGCAGTTCAATCGTCAAGATTTTCCTTGACTCAGGTGCCAGAGCGATACGCTACCGAATGCAAAAAGAACGAACTTAATATCTTGAAAACTGTAGGAATAGTTAAGGCCTCGGACAGACAGAGAAAGTGGCTGCAATAGCGCACCCAACTTCGTTGGAAGATGCGCTAAAAATATAGGATGATACATCAATGTAATCACGAAAAAGAATTCAAAAAATTGTACGTCGTTAAAGTATACAGAGTGTTGCATTTAAAAGATACCTAGTTTTGGTCAAATCTCAGAAACGGTGGTCGACCATTGTTCGTTACTACGTCACTACTAGATTCTACGTAAAATATCTAAAATAGGCAGTTTTACATTTTAACCACCTGTACGTTAGTAAGGGAGATATTGCATCGAGGTAAAAAATGACCCCCCACTTTTTTACGGAAATACACGTTTTGAGGTACCAGGAATCCGAATCAAACAAAATTTCGATGTCAGTCTGTCTGTACTCTCATTTCCGGGAACCAAATTTGGTACCCATATTCTTAGACATAAAATAAGGGCTCTATTTTTTCGTGCTATTGTTTTTTATCATGTGGCCCCCAGCGATATGTGAAAACCTTAAAATGGCCCTTTATGATAAATGAGTTTGACAGGCCTGCTACACAGGGTGTTCCTACATATTATGTGCATAGGGATAATTCTCTGACTTATTTTAAGATTAAAAGTTCATATAAACATACGTCCGCAACGCTTATATAGTTACAGTTCGCTATACAGGGTGTTACGTTTTTTCTTTATATCTCCTGCAGTTTTCGAGATATTTTGCTAAAGTTTGAAATATATGTTACGCGGAAGGGCTTATATCATTGATCACGTCAATTGATTTTCCGACTTGTTCAGTCTCTTTTTCTCTTTTCTTCGTAGAAAAACAAGTCAGCATGTGCATGATGAAAGCGCATTTCTGGTAATACAGATTAGTATTTTATTAGCAAAAATCAATCTCACGAGTAATTTATCCCAAAACAGACTACAGCCTGAACATCTACACTCTATAGCACACTAGATATTGTATTTTTTTTTCAAAAATGCGCAAAAAAATAAAAATCAATTTTCTGTAGTTAGCTAAATGAAAGTAAAATTTTTAAAATGGTCCAGTAGGCCGTGGCTTCATTTGCATAATCGCTTGATTTTATTAGTTTTGACAGTTCACATTTGACATTGAATCTTGTATTTGCAAAGTTTATTTTAAAAAATCGATAACGAGGCGTTTGCGGATATGCGCCGGCCCGTGTGGCGCAGTTGAGTTGAAGCTAGGCTGCGGTACTAAGGGTTCCTGGTTTGAGTTCGGGTTCGGCTATGGATATTTGTAAATGTATAGAGGGTTGGGTTGGTAGAGCAGCCTTGGCTGAAATCACGCCCACTTAAAAATAAAAGCAAAAATAAATAATAAATAAATAAATGAACTCATCCTTAGACTCCGACACTCCATTTTCAAGATATTCACACTTAAGTTTTCACATCGCCAGATAATATGTACATCAGAAAATATTTTTTAATTTATTTTGCAATTAAATTCAATGTTCGAAATGAAAATATATTAAATAACAAATGCGGCATTTGTGAAGGTTTTGTAAACATTTGTGAAAATACCACGAATGTCGTTAAGTCACACAGATGGCAGTTAATGTAACCTGAAAACGTCTGTACCTATAGGGAGTGTCACCCATACGATCATCATCCCCCACCGGACGTCCCATTGGTTGCATACTGCTTGTAATTCAAAGGGAGTGGTAGGGGGGAGGGGGGTAATATTTTGATGATATAAACTTAAATTAAGAATAAAATCCACATGTTTCGGTTTATATCAATTTATCAATTACTTAGAGGAATTGGCCAGTTTTATTTTTATTGCAGCACAGAAGGGGGGGGGGGGCATGCATTATAAGAATAACCTCTACATTATGACCCTACATATTTCTAATGTTGTTAATGCTACAATGTTGCTTAATTAGCACACAATAATCATTATTACACAGAACGCCCTGCATATTATTTATACTTTTAAAAAATATGAATCTCGTGTGCATTCATTTGAAAAATAGAATAAAAATCTATACACAGGTTGCCATGGAGACAAAGCCGAATTTTAAAATAAATGGCCCTTGTGCTCAATCTAATAATACTTGGCTATTTTGGAGAAAACAGTAAAAATTTACTCTTTTGACTACAATTATTAATGCACTTTTGAATAGGGGCTAGGAATTTCTTCAAAAAAAATTTTTGATTCAATTAAAATCGCGGAAATTTTCATATGTTCATGCGGATGGTGATCTTCAGTAGGTTTAAACTTAGATCAGCATGTGTGATACGTCATGCATAAAGAGTAAATGCGATTTGATACAGTGTTTAGTGATGCCGAACCGCACGGAACATTCAATTTCATTGGGTCCCTTTAGGTTTTGTTAGCCGGCCCAGATTCTAGAGGGGGATGGCATATTTTGGACGCGAACAAACGAGTTTCTGGTTCCGTTTCGGAATTTTCAGCGGGTGTTTTGGTGACAGGAAAAAGAGATAGGAACGGCAGCTCGAGCGTAAAGGTCGCGGTTTTATCGCGAAAAATTAAGTTTTTGACCCTCGAAAAGGGTCGAAAAGGGTTGTTGACCAAAGAAAATCAGTTCCAGTGGGTTGTGATGAATTTCACGTCGGGCGGAAACGAAGTTAAATTACATAGAATTTCATGATAATTCTGTGAAGAACAATTAACCGGTTTAATCGCGGAGAGTATATACAACAACCATTTTTTTGTGAACTTTTGAAGAAACATTGCTAATTCGTGAACTCGTGAACTTTCATCGTCGTCCTAGTTGCGAACTTATCTGTTGATATCTTTGAGCTGATGGAAAGCAGAGACCTCACGGACTGGGTCTTTTTAATCTGAAGACGTAAATGCATATCAAAATTTTCACCTTCACTGAGAAAAGGAATTTCATATAACAATCAATGTGAGCTCTATCCTGGGGGATTTCAGCCTGACGAAATCTATGGAGGCCGACGCAGGGCGGATTAAGAGAGAAAGGTAGAAGCTACTGCAAATTTTGTTTTGTTTGCAACTCGGAAACTGTAACATAAATACTTTAGGGATGCAGTACAATTTTTATTAGGATTTAATAATTTCTTATTTAATCATGTTAAGTAAATTAAACAAAAATTAACCCCAAATTATTACTTAACGGGAGAAAGTTATTTGTTTGACTTCTTAAAGTTATCTAATTTTCAGTTATTCAAGTTTCCCCCATTTAAGTATCTGATAAAGGGGGGGATTTTTTGATTGAATATATTCAACCATTTAGTAAATTTTGAGTTTTATTGTCGACCAGATGGAGCAGTAATGCGTTAGTGGAGGTTGAGTGGACTATGTCGAGCATTCAATTCGTTTTTACTATAATACCACAAAAACTTTATATTTATACAGTCAATTCCGTCAAAGTTCTAGGGGCAAGTTGCGTACCTACGGTTTACAGACGGTAAAAAACAAAGCCTATGCGATCAAAAATGAGTTGCTGTCGAGTCACCTTTGGAATTTTTGTTTATATGGGAAATCGTACTTGAACTTCCAAAGGCGACTCGACAGCAACTCATTTTTGATCGCCCGTTACTAAGGACCAGTATTGCATGATTCAGTTAAATTTATATGATAGATAATCTCATGTAAATGCACTTGTTTCCATGGCAACTGTCAGATAAACACGAAACCAGTCCTGAATTGTCAAATGATTTCTAACATTAATCTTTTTTTATTATACCTCAATCACAATCTCCGTTTTAAACACTTAAATGCGTGCGAAAAAAGGCCTTTAAAGCACACGTACTCGTTGCGCGTGCTTTAAAGTGCTTTTATACACTTGTATCTTAATATACTATTAAATCCACATGCCCGATGATTCAGAATCATCAGAACCCTTAAAATCTCATGTACATTCCCTAGACTTTCAAAATGTCATAATTATGAGAACATTCAAGATCGTCATAATTTTCAGACCCCTCAAAACCTCTAAAATCCTTTGCATCTTCAGAATCTACACATAATATTCAGATCAATCAAAATCTGTCAAACTCTATAAAATATTCTCTATCCCACATTACTTGGCAACAATGGATGAAGGATATTTTCCTAAATTTCATTGGAAGTAGTGACTTTATTTCACTTTGAAAATAATGAATGGCAGTCAGTATCTTATTTTCAATAACAATAGGTAGTGAATTTAAATTTATAGCAGTATCATCATAAGTGAGTGGTTCCGGGAGTAGACCTATAGCCACGCCCTTAGCAAGAGGTCATTGACACTTGACCTTCACAACAGAACTGAGGTTAGGTACTTGATCTCTGGTGCAGGTGCAGCAACTCTGCATTTCGATCGATTTATTATCCTTGAAATTCGTGGCAGTAAAGTCACATCATTTAGTTAAGACAATTGATCATCGAGTTATCAAAATATTCCACAAAATACCTTTTTTATGGAAATTGTAGATAAAAAACTATGTTTAATTAATTACTAATAGAGCTACAACGGAGAGTATACATTCAATGTACTTAATTCATTATTCAAGCTCATAAAAATTTGGAACAAAGTAGGTACCTACTATAATTAAACAAAAAAATTTTAATCAACAAATTGTGGTACCTACAATACAATACAATTTAACATTTTTAATGGTTTTGTAACTGTGTAGTTGGACTTTTTATCCAGACTTCAATTTTAGCTCAAAATATATGTTGTCTTATCTTGATAACTGGATGCTCAATTGCAGTTATGGTTTGACTATTGCACTCTTGAGAACAAAATCTTCATATTACCTACTGCTACAAATTGACCAAAGTTTGCAATAATGTTAACTTCAGTTGTAAGACATAGGAGTCTTCCTACAGGAAACCGGACTCCGTAACAAAGGTTATAGAATGAAGAAAGGTTGCAAAAGCATAGCAAAGTACCCTTCTGTCCCTCTTTGTCACATTTCCAACTGTAAAATCCAGCAAAGAGGCAAATGACTCCTTTGCTAAAATTGACTAAATACTTAATAATAGTGTTTACTGCTTCCTATTACACTGCAGTTATATTATCGACTTAAGTGGGTACTTTTAGAAAGCTCAAGTGCTTGGATTAGTTTTTTTGTAAGATAGTGACTCAATGGAAGTTGGCAAAGTCCGCAATCAAGGTGCTCAACATTGCACCTACGGCTTGACAAGAGGTTTACTTATTCACCCTGCAGAAAATCCTTGGATAGCTTCGAACAGTGTAGGTCAAGTCTGTTTTAAGGCATTTATCAACAATTTTTTTTGTTAGCTTTGTAACTATTTTAAGAATGTGGGTGAAAGATCACGTGAAAGTTTGTTTTGGCCAACGAAGATAACACCGAAACTAATTCTTTTTGAAATGGTAGTACTTACATCCTTGTAGATGCGATACTGGTCGATAGCCCACACGGTGGGTACATGTGTGGCCAAGAGTTGGGCCAAAGACACCTGCTGGTTGCAGGCTCTCGCACAGATCAATCGAGTTTTACCGACTGCCGTATCACCCACCACGACACATTTCACCAATTCCTGATGGGGCTGTTCATTGTCCATCCCTTAAACCCATCACCATCACCGTTCCTCTCTCGCGTCCCTCCTATGTACACTGATTAATAGATCTGCAAAGTAAAAAATGTTAAAACCGTCCACCGATTCGGGCAACAACATGTCAAACGATGGTAACTGCTCGCTCTTCCAACTGGGACTGATAAACTAATTATAGATACACAAAAGATAAGATAGAAAAGTTGTTTTTCGTGCGTTAACCGAATAAAATTCCTGCGTGCCTGGGAAAAATCCGGCTGCAGTTGGTCATTAACAAAGAAGGAAATAATGAGATCAGAGGGCAGGAGTCAAGACAATGAACAGATTGTTGACCCCATCACTGTATAGAAAGTTGAATTGAAATTTAAAAGGCGCACCTTCACTTACCGTTATTTAGTAAACATTCATCACACAGCTCGTACGCCGCCCCCGTCGCGACTTTATCTGAATGTTTATTTTAACTCAAAAATAAGACGCAGGATGAACTTGTTTGCGATTCTAAATTTCTCCAATTATTTTCGCATTGACGCGTGACAAAATAACAACGAATGAAAGACGACGCGTTTATTCAACGTTGCGCATTATTTTTTTAATAGAGAGGGCCCCCGCTTCTTTTGTTTATCGTTGCCTATTCGCGAAACAACAGCACTTTTGTATCCAATTTAAACTTTACTACGAGACGGCTCATTTTATTGTGGAATACGAACGGATCGTCCATGAAGGAGTTCATGCTGCTGCTGTGTATAAATGAAATGAGTAACGCAAATCGATTTTTGAAACGTGACGTCAACCCATTTCGAGGCCGTCACGAGATCAATCGGCTCTTGAACCCGACGCATTTTCTTATTACTTTTTAGCGGTTATTTCTACTCTTAAATAATAATTAATAATTGTCGTCCAATTCGGTCTTCGCCATGAGCGGTCTCGATGCGGCAGTCGAGGACGCGGCGCGCTCCGTCTCGTCAATTTAAATTTGGGCTATTTATAAACGCAGGTCATAGATTCTTGGTTTATATTTAGGCCCTTGACACTAGAATTGCGACACACTATACCGGGTTCGTTTCGAAAGTATCAATTTGGCACAAATTTTGCGTCGCAATCCTATTGGCCCAAATTTGTTTGATATGCGCTAAAAGTTCGCGCCATTATTAATTCGACAAATTTAAGCCAATGAGATCACTAGTTAAACCACTAAATTTATTTGTAGGTGTAAAATCCTAGTTAACTGAATTTATTGTAACGTAAATTTATTTATATAAAATTAATTATTAATATGCTCACAGGAACTATAAGACTATTAGAAAAAACTAGAAGACATACCACATTTAACCTAAACAATATGTCAAATCAGTAAAATATTTTATTGTAACCGTATCTCAAGTTGAAAAAATTGAGTAGGTAGTATAGAAGGGACCAAAGTAAACCAAAAATTTTGAAAAAGACGCACAGGTGGCATCTGTGCTAGCACAGCAAAACTTTAATCTTTGATTTCAAATTGACATTTTAACCTCATTAACCTCAATGCAGAATCATGTGTATGAAAATGTTGCTTTATTTTTTGAAATCGTGTCATGTTGTGGTGTAAATGTTTGCTTAATTTATGGTTATGTTTTGAAATGGTCTTATTATATTTATGAATGTAATAAAAGGTTACAACATTAACATATTGCAAATAAAAGTGTTTAAAAAAAACATTAAAAAAAATAAAATTAAAAAAAACAAAAAAAATTTACTGTATACTTACAAAATTTCATTAAATGCTGCCTGTTGGGGTAAAGTGCCTAAAATACAAACCACATTTTCCTGCTGAACAGCTAAACTAAATCTTTGTTTTAAAAATTCAAAACAACGATTCTCTTGTTTTTTCAAAAATTTTTTTACCATTTGGTCATTTGTTTAAATTTTGTTTGATGTTTATATGTACTTCTTGTATGAAAACTAACACTTTTCCGTGAAGAGACAGTCACATGAATTGGCAATACGTCAATGATCAGATTTTGAGCTGAAAGGGGGACACAAAACACCTCCTTGCCTACTTGTTTGTAGGTCTGCATTTTTTAAAGTCCTAAATCTTACCCAAACTTTAAATTTTGTTTATAGTAGACAGATAGGTGCTTTATTTTGCGGCGCATGGTCAGATAGGGAAACTCAAATATAGCCTTTGGGTAACGAAAGGGTGAAGACCCTTACATTAGAACATGAATATAGGCCTACGAGTTTATTTTTTACTCGTAGGTATAGGCTATTATGTTCAAATTGGATTAGTTAATCCCCCTCTCAAACCTCATTTTAATAAAGGATAAGGGATATTTACGTATCTCAATATTTATTGAAAATATGATCTCATTCAACCATTTTTGAGTTTAGAAGGTGGTATGCGTTCAAAAATAGTTTCCAAGACATTTTCAAAAAAGTAATTTCTAAATGGCTCCAAAAAAGCTGCTTTATTTGTTAATGTAGTGCAATGAAAGGGCTGGCACGTACATGGAATATACTTTAAATGTACGTATATAAACTGTCCATATATCGAGATGCCGTTTTCGCGAGTTTGTTTAGGCATCATTTAGCTACTTTTTCATGAAAAAAAAATCGAACCAATGCATTTAATTTTTTTGAGAAAATTAACCATTTCTGTCGGAATGTCGAAAAAAAACCCTCAAGCGGTGATATGTGAAACTAACAAAACTTCAAATAGTATAATATTTGTAGCTGAAGAATAGCTCTTTAGAACTAACCCGAGTTTGTTTAAATCGGCTCAGCCGTTTCGAAGATACAGGGTGTTCTTTACGGAAACCTTTGAATACCCCCCACCACTTCATTTTTAGAGATACAGGAAAAATTGTCAAACAAAAATTGTTCAGATTATCGTCGACTTCAAAGACCGGGTATTTTTTTGTTAGGTTAATATTGCGGAATTCACAGAAACATCACTTTTTTAGATTCCAAATTGCAGTTACGCCCTCTAGCGGTCATTTAAGAAACTTAAAAATATTTTCCAGGTTGTTCTCGTGGCCGTTTTAGTAATAAATTTTTTTACCGCAAGCCTCTACGATGGGTAGATTCTCAGATACAGTACCTCGCATTCTTAGTTGGCCACCCACATACAATGGACGTTTAATGCAAGTTATTAATTATTAAAAAATTTCTTCATAAATAACAGAACTAATCGAATGTGCTGGGACTTTTTACAAACCCTGTATAACCACATGCAGACTACATTAATAGAGGACTAAAAGAGTAGAACATGAAGAAATAAAATCTCTCGTTGAGGGTTGGGTCATTATTTAAATATTTTTTTTGTTTGATAATATTCCATTTATTACCAAAAAACGTTAAACAATTTTCAATCACGCAGGACAAATGATCCCAATCGTTTGATTTAATTACCTGTAAAAAAACTGTTATTAATTAGAATTACCGAGTTAAGTTTATTAAGATTTTTTGTTTTGTCAATTGAACTGATCAAGACAAGAAGACATAAATTAAATAAGAAATATTCTGAAAATATATCACACCCTGAAATAAACCTATTTGTTGAATAAAGCATTGGGCTATACATGTGGATGTAATAAATAGGTTCATTAGCAATGGACAAAAATTTACCTACTTATATAAAAATGCAACAGAATCACAGTTTAAACGATTGCATTAAACTTTTTGGTACGCATTGGCACTTTTGTACTTCTTCTCCATCTCCAATTGCTTCACTCTAGCATAACCCGCACTACCAATCAAAACAATTGCATTGGAAGTCCACCAAAGAAACGATTTCATTTCCTGATACCAATACGTTGCTAAAATTGTTTGCACGCATGCCTTAGCAGTGCCCGATATGTTATGCGTTAACGCGGATGTGTACTGGAAGAAACGTGTTAGCGGCGAAACCTTCCATCAAAACAAACCTTAATCTGAAGAGACGTAAATATCCCAATTGTAAAGCCGCACAGCGCACCTACACTCATTAATAACCAGAATTTCGGTGCGAATAAGTCACTATACTCCCATAATGTGACCACTTCACCATTAAGTAGCATCAGTGGTATAAATAAAATCGTCGAATAAATATTATTGTAATACGTCAGTAGCCAAACATCCTGATTGATGGTCGCTAGGACACGTTTTATAAAAATTGAATATAACGATAACGAGAGCGACGATGTGACGCCAAATATGGTCCCGTTAACAGACAGACTACCTAAAAGCACCGTGTATTAAATAAACCCGAATAACAAAGTCAGCACCTGCCAAGTTTTCTTGATCTACACCTAAGTAGAAACCAAAAATTATCATAAAACAACACAACAGACTTGGACAAGAAGTTTTCTCGCTAAGTATTAAATAAGAAAAAATTACATTAAAAATGGTCGTAAGCGAACGTCCAACGTAGTAAAATGCCACCGACACGTACTTAAGGCATAGGTTATTCGTGGCGATCATTGCCGTGAATAGCACAGACACAGGAAGAACCTTTAAGTACAGCTTTACTAAGGGAAGGAGTTAAAAAAGGTATACCTACATCTTTCACGACATGCGCCTGGAATGGATTACCCGGCGTGAATTTGAAGTATTGCGGAAATACGGCACTCAGCTGTATAAGCACGAAACATATTAGTGCAGTTATAAATGTTTGAAATAGTGCCACGCTCATAGGCGCATTAAGATTGGTTTCGCTTAGTAGCCTCTTATTCACAAATACAGTTACAATGGAGACTATCCTGAAACATCCTTGCAAAATATGTTAGTAGTGCGAGGCATACAAACCAGTATCCTGCTATTATTAAGAAAATTTGGATGTACTTAGAAACTAGATTTTCGTTCCTCGATGCTGCCATGGTGGCACTGGTTAACGTATGTATTGCAGATGTTTTGTAATCATTTTTCCTATTTAATCTTATCCTTCATCAAACACCAAACGAAAATAAATAGACCGAATGTAAGGTTATGATTGGTATGACGTTTCTGCCTGAAGAGAGGAAGGGTTCAGCACAAGTCAATTTATGGAAGCATTCGGCGATCGGTACATTAACCATTGTATACACAGGGTCGCTATTAAAAATTGAACCAAAGCTCTCACGCTCAAACCGTTTGAGATATAAAAATGAAACTTAGAACGCTCCCATTTGAAATTAATTTCACTTATTTTGAGGCGAAAAAAATTTGTTTTGCTGCATGGTTTTTGATTGCGACAGTCATCTTGCATTTTTTTAATGGAAATATAGGTCATGTGACATGCCATTAAAAAGCTTATTTTTTCTCTTTTTTACTACCTTAACATGTATAGTGTTAAATTAGAGAATAATGCAGAAACATTAGAAAAACCTTGCCATATGCTCGATTGGCTAATGTATTTCACTTTAAATTAACAGAACGTCAACAATTAACAAAAAAGCAACGAGCGGGCGTTTAATAAGTACAAACCCACAGTCCATATGGTGTGTTTTCTTACAACTACTATGCGATCAAAAATGAGTTGCTGTCGAGTCGAATTACCTTTGGAATTTTTGTTTACATGGGAAAGCGTACTTAACTTGAACTTCCAAAGGCGACTCGACAGCAACTCATTTTTGATCGCCCGTTACTTGTCTACATATTGTATTAGGCGAGAAATAAATTTAAATTTCAGCTTCAGAGTATTTTCTCCATTATTTTCTAATTAACGCCATTTGTGATTAGGGTAGTAAGAAAGAGAAATAAATAAGCTTTCTATAATGACGTATCACATGAGATGGCCCTTTGATTATACCGGGTGGTGCCTAGCGCGACGCAGCATAGGGATTTCAATGGTAATTTCTTTATAGTCAATTACTAGCTCCCCTAATTATTTTAGAGCAAAAGTCTAAATACGTTTTTTTTTAGAGAAAAAAATACTGCATCTATTCATAGTATTACTTATAATTTTCCGTTTTTCAAAACCGTAGAAATCGCCAAAATAAAAAGGTTCATTTTACAATAAATCAAATATGCCTTGGAATTACCTAAAAAAACAGCGATCACGTTTCATTATTTGCCTTTGACGTATATTAAATTTATACTTGTTTATAAATTAGTTAAAGAACTGCAAGTGCAATAACGTTCAAAATGTCCGTCAAAACCATCAGGAAAACGACAATACATTCAACGTTTTGGCTGCAGTAGCGGAAAATCCGAATATAAGTTTAGGAACAAATCTTCTTCAAATCAGTTTTTTTTTCTTCGATTATGTAGGTACTCTGATTCCGGAAAATGATAAACAAATAGTATCTGATGCAGATGCAGCATACATTCTCTAAAAAAACATTACTCTAAGATGCCTTTTATTCAGTCGGTTAGTTGAAACAGAATTAAATATGAAAATCGTTCGACGTCAAACAACAATAACTTAGATGCGATGCGTTTGTAGTTTGTTAATAGATTCCAAAGCATCACTGATTTATAAAAATATAATTTTTTATTTTGTCGATTTCTATGGTTTTGAAAAATTATAACTAAAAGTATGAACAGATGCAGTATTTTTTTCTCTAAAAAACATATTTAGACTTTTGCTCTAAAATAAATAGGGGAGCTAGTAATTGACTATAAAGAAATTACCATTGAAATCCCTATGCTGCGTTGCGCTAGGCACCACCCTGTATATGCAATGCATTGGCTATTCAACAATTCGTTTGTTTGTTCAAACTGTTGAATCGCACTATAAGGCCATAGGCTCTTAAAAGAAAGTCTAGATAGCATCAGTCAAGACTTAAAAAATTTCGATAAACGCCGCTTATTGTTCTAAAGATCTTTAGAGACTACGCGATTAGAAACCTTCCGATAACCCCATTGGCTCTATTCAGAGCTTAGTGTACCGAAAAAGCTCTATTACAAGGAAGGATGCTCCAGAATGGGCTTTGTAAAGTGCCTATACAATTCTGAAAATGCTTAGGAAGCTCGAAAAGAAGGGTAAAAGGCTTTAGGGTAATACTAGAACTCTCTGGGAAAGCTTTTGTGCACTAGAAAACGCGTTTAGAAGACTTTTTCGATATCCTTCTAGAACTTTTAAGGTTACATTTCCAGATATGTCTAATTAACAAGCGCGTCTAGTGCTCAATCTAGAATTTAGCAAAGTATGGCAAAGTGCCTAAAATCTTTTTTTTAACTTTTCCCGCCCGGAAACACACTTGAAGACTTTCTAGCGGTTCCTATACACCCAGGAAAAGTGGTAGATGTTAAAAAACACTAAAACGCTCTAGAAAACACACTCTATAAACCTAAAAACCTGGGGAAAACATAGTCTTCAAATTGTAAGCCATATAAAGCCTCGGAAAGGATTTAAGTCTTTCTAACCAAGACTCCTTACATTCCAGTTTTCCGCAATCTTGACAGGGTCGCCAACTAAGAATGCGAGGTACTGTATCTGGGAACCTGTCCATCGTAGAGGCTTGCGGTACAAAATTGATTACTAAAACGGCCACGAGAAAAACCTGGAAAATATTTTTAAGTTTGTGCGATCTCGGTTCAAAAACTGTCTATATATAAAGGATGACGTAAAAAACATTTTTTTCTTTCACTTTAAATCGTAATATGACTAATAGATGGCGCTAAAGCGAGATCTACTACGGCTCTAGAAGAATCCAGGCGAGGAAAAAAAATTGATGGTGAAACGTATCAATTGCGTATGTCTGCGAAGGTTTCTGATGTAGTAAAACACTTTCTGAAATTCCCACACAAATGGGAACTGGATTTTGTTTTACAGTCGAGAAGAGACTTCGACATTTAGAATGTAGGTTTGTATGAAGGCGTGTTCCGAAAGAGACTTCCCGAAGAAACGAGATTTCTCAGGGCAGCACGAAGTTCGCTGGTACTGCTAGTAATTAGGTGACATCCTGAGGGGTGTCTTTGTTGTCCAACCCTTCAATAGGTATTCTGAACAATACTTGGGATGTAAATATGGGAGTTATTGGAGGGAGAAGAATATCTTTTATTCGGTTGGATGAAGAAATTATACTCTTTGTGGAACTGCTCGAAGACAACTTGAGAGGACGGAATGGAAAGTAATTACAGCTTGAAGATAAAAACCAAAAAGAGTAAAGTTATGACTAATGAGTATAGGTGAAGAAGAAAATAGTGTTTATGTAAGAGGAGAGAAGCTACCGCTACAAATGGTAAAAGCGATACAGACACTGGTTGAAATGAACATAGGAACGGTTAGGATATAACAATTACAAAAACCATATCTATTTCCTAATGAACCAGTATACATTTGACATTTTGACAAGACAATAAGACTATATGAACAGACCGAATAACTATACAAACATGATTAATGTAACATCAACCAAAAAAATTCTTAATAAATAAAATTATTTTGGAGGGAAGGGGGGATGAAACAACGTTAATAATAAATACTGGACGGTCCCATAGCAGTATTTTCACATAACAGGCCTCAAACACCAACCATAAATCGTGTAAATAATACCATTAAAAATAATACAAATTCTAATTAGTTAAGCCTCGAAATCATATATACAACAATTTGCTTGTAAAATATATGACTAGAAATAATAAGTAAGGGAAGACTGGCCTATTTTTTGTCGAATAAAGGCAGTTTCGATCGAACGGCACCTTCGCAAATGATGTTGCGCGAGAACTTGTGACGTTGCATCAGCTGGGGGCCGGAATTCGTGGAAACGTTTGAACCTTGTCTTTCGAGCGAACGTCTCAGGGCCGCTATACGAGAACTTAACTGTAAATCGCCGCACGCCGTTCCAGAATGGCGTAGAGTTGCACCCTTCTTCTCAAAATACTCGACAATACTGGATATATTCGGGCGCAAGTCCTGTGTCCAATCTGATCCTCCCATACTGGGAATATCGTCACTGCTATCTGTGTAGATTGAAGATGCACGTTTACAAAGCGCCTGCAGCTCACTAGGCTCCAACTCGTCCAAGGATCGCAGCGAACTGACTGCCGTTCCACTGTCCCATAGACTATTGGGTGACAGGCACTCTCCAACGCTAGAATAAAAGCCGGACTCGCAAGAACCGCGCCTTCTTAGTGACGGGGTGGTCGTTTCTTGTGTCGATATATCACATAAATTAGTACTTGACCCTCCCTTATACAGAGGATCGACAAACAGAGGAATACGCACTGGGACTTTACGAGCACTTGTCGGCGAGCCCGGTAGTGAACGCGGAGACTCCGAAGTTTCATACGGCACGGGAACTTCGCAGCAGGATGAGAAAAGTGAGTTACCTAGTAACTTTTTAACACCGCGAAATTGCTCAAGCGCCGCAAACGGGTTGCTGGTGCGCGGCTTATAGTGCGGATCTTGTCTACACATGGTGAGGGCGTGTCGGCGAGCCTTTTCACTAGGTGTCGCATAAATGGAAAGCGCTAATGCGGACACGTCTTCCGATAATGACCTTCGATGTAAACCTGCAAATAACCACAACACAAACTGTTGAAATGAACAATTATATTCGTGTTAGTGTGAATTAACAAAGCAGTGCTTGTCAAAAGTTGCTATTTTTTCCAGTCAGTTTCAAAACAATCATGTTAAAATGTTTACTTAATTCCTCATTCTTACAATAGATGGCGTCAAATAATGTACATACTTTTGCGATGTTGTGGAGCCGCCGCTTGGATAAATAGCACGGGTAGCTGCTCTTCGCTGCGCGCCGGACAGTTGACCAACTGGGCCGCTTCCGTCGCCTGCTTAATTTCGCTTTGAATATCACTAAGTATCACGATAATTTCGGTAAAACTCGGCCGGCTAATCGGTTCTATCGTGCAGCATCGAAATGCCAATTGTAAGAAATCAGGTACACAATTAGGTTCACACAATTCTAGGAAGGCAAGATAATCTAAGCCGAAATTGTCCGTTCTCGGCAATTGATCCGGATCCGCCTCGACGCGCGCGATCAGCTCGCAAAGGACGATTCCGTAACTGAACACGTCGCTCTTTTCGTCGTAGTACAGTCCCTTGAGGCATTCCGGCGACATCCAATATGGAGAACCGACGGTGCTCAGTTTCGGTTTCGTTTTCGGGTCCGGGATGCGAGCTGCCAGTCCAAAGTCGCCGACCACCGCTTGTAGGTCGCCATTTTCCTTTTCTCTTATCAGTACATTCTGAAACAAGTTGAGGATGAGGAGCCATAAGATCGGATTTTATGATATTCTAATAAAAATCAAGTAACCCTAATGCGCCACTTGAATTAGCACCTTTTGTAAGGTCTGCGGTGTTATACGTCGCTTTCCACCGCGTACGCATGGGCGCCTCCTTATCGCGTATCCAGACGGAAATATACCCGAGCTCTTCGCCCATGAGAACCAAAAAAGTCCCCTAGCGTCCCAAAGTCCTTTCAGCGATGGGACAAAAAGATCATGCAAAAACATTATTTGACCACTAAAGTTGTGTGCAGAAGCCATTCTTGAAAGCTAGGGGAATTTACACATTTACCGCTTCTCAGCGAATATGAACAAAAGTATACCTGGCGATAACAAGCGATAACAAAAACCGTATTGAGGAAAGCGAACGCGGTTGCCACCATGTCTTGGGACCTAAGTTTCGTTCCGTTCTGTTTAAAGCAGAGCATGTGACGAAAATGCGGGTTTTTTATTGGTTGTTAGGGCACGCCAGTCGAGGTAATTTGCGTTCACAAAAAAGTGCCTTTTCAGTTTTTCTAGTGGGCGGGATTCAAATAGCGAAAGAACTGAGAGAGCAGGGGATTCGACGACTATTCGCGAGCGATCACGCACACCTAGACGCACACTGTCTGTGCGTAAAATTTTCTATCGTTGAGCGATCACGTACTACGTTAGATACGCGAAATTAAATTCTTAGAGAAGTTAAGGCGTGCGAGACAGCACCAATCTGAGAGCGCTCACGTATAAACATCGGTGTGTAAAATAATTATTTTGCGTTCGGCATTTTTAGCTGGGATACAAGAAAGATCCTCGTGTATGTGTGCAGATTCGAGGTTCGATTTCAAGAATCAGAATGCGGAATTAGTCGCTGTAAAGTTTAATTTTGAGTAAAAAACATGTGGCGAGACCTTCAAAATTTCGAGTACAGAAGAGAAACATTTAAGCAAATTCGGGAGTGGGTTCCCAGTAATTGTATATGTGCGGAGACGCATTACAGTGGATTCCGGGAGAAAATCTAATTCTTAGCAAGGCCTTTTAATTACAAGTGATAAAATTTACACGAAGGAACATTTTTGAATTTGTGAAGCCGCTTCTCAAATAAAAAATAGGATTAAAGAAAATGAGCTAGAGATTGCGATAAACAAAGAATTTCCTTTTTTCTTTCGGATTGCCAAATGTAAAGGTCGGCTTGAAACTAAGCTAGGCTTCAATACGATTAAATTTATAAGATTGAAGTCCCAAAAAGTGTAGTAGTAAATATACAAGAACGATCTCAGCCCACTTTGATCTTGAGATCTGCGCGTACACCAAGTCATTAGATTTACAGTGAGTTAATCATTGATATAAAAGACTAAGGAAGGAGCTTATGTATTATTAGCTAGTATCCTATTAGGCTTCTCAATATGGCGGACGTTCATACGCGCCGTGGCGTACACACATTTAATAATAATAATAATAGCGGCTTTATTTTTTTGTTTCGTACAGAGAATCAAACATTACAGAAAAGAAAAAAAAAGGTGAAAACAGTACCAACTAACGAAAACAAAAAAAAATCTCAAGGCGGAGTTCATCACACCTTATGGTGATCTGATCTTCCACTCAACCTTGTAGAGTAGAGATCCCGTCTAACTAAATATTATTGCCTATATATAACTTACTAAATTCAGTCAGTTCTTGCGTGACATCATAAAAACAGGAAAAAAAATGACCAAAAGTGGAATTAAAGAAAAAAAAACACATTCATCCAATTTAATACATTTTACCCAAAATCGTCCTGAAACCTTCATTTTCATGCCTACTTTATGTCAGTTTCCATGACGGAGGCAGACCAGTCTACTTTTCCTGCCGCCTGTCACTTTACCGGCCGCACCTGTCACATTGCTAAATGTCTATAATGACTCCTGTCATCAATGACAGATTGGCATATCAAAAGTTCTATATGAAAATTTAAATTTTATGTTAAAATACGATTTCGGATAATAGCTATTTATATATCAATTACATAAACTGGATCTTTATGGACGAGCCGTTTATTTATTGAACAAGGCGAGTCCCCATAAAGCCTATTTACGGACGCGATATATACAAAGCTTTATGTACGACTGCAACAACCCTTAAAAATGAAAATTTCATGGAATTCAATAAACGATAAAATCTATATATCATTGACAACAGATGTTAAGCATTTGTCAAGTATTTCTAAAATACTTGAATTTACCTTGGATTGACACCTAAGTACGTCTGTCACATTGACAGGTGGCCGTTTTACTTTATCATTATGGACTGTAATCACCGCATTATCAAGCAGTCGTACATAAAATTTAATACAAAACCCGTCAGTAAAATGACATTACTTGACTCGGAAATTAAAGTACTCCTGTCATCACTGACAGATTGACATTAATCAAAATGAATCATAATTAAAATGATTCGGGGTAAAATTTAATACAAAACTCGTCACTAAAATGACACTACTTGGTATCATTTTCCTGACTTTTATGTAAATAACTATAATTTGTTGGCGGATAGTACTGAAATTACATACATTTACTACAGACAGATTCACCCCTTCTTATAAACAAAATCCATATCTCAACATTCAGACCTGTTTCTGTCGACAAACAGAACTGAATCGAATAATCTTGAACTTGGAGCATGCGCAGATCTCAAGGTCAAAGTGGATTTAAATCGTATGTGTTTCAGCCGCAGTTACCATAAACAAAAGCTGTAATTAATTCGCTATTTCCGTCACAATATTTCAATTATTGTTGTCGCGTCCGAAAGTTCTTGTCACTTAGACGACGAGGCAAATTAATATCTTGGAATTTCAGTTCTGTTAAGTCATTATTTGGCGGTTTTAGTTTCCTATAGTAATTTAAAACGAGCATTAAAATTGTAAGGCCATGCGGGTTTACGCCGGTATCAGTTTGATAAGACAATGGGGGTGAATTAGAATTAAGAAGTAAGAAATATTATCCGGCAAATTAAGTAAGTGTAATTAGCGGTAGCTGATTAAATGAGATGCTGTAAACAGCATCCGATTAAGTCGTGAGGGGTCTCAAAACTCAAAAGAAGCGCTCTTAATTAATTTAAATGTTAACACCAATTACATTTAGGACATTACATTAACGAGGTTTTAATTTTTGAATGTGGAATACGCTGTGTCGGCTGGAAAAACCGTCGATCCCTCCATGAAATAGTCGAATTTTGTAAAAGGTAAAGTGCTGTTTAGAGGTGCCTTTGGTGTTTTGATAGTTTCCGTAAATTTATTTTGTACTGTATTTCCCGGTTTTGAGTGTTCTTGTACAGAAATTTCTACCGCTACATTTAATTGCAAGGTAAGCTTTTAGCTACTTTTTGTTCCATTAATTATCAGGGGGGATATTGTTTATCTTTCCTGCATTTTATTTCCCTGTAGCTGCTGCTAATTAATTTATGATTTGTTGTTTGTGTTCCCGTTAAGGCAATCGCTACCGTGTACCATAATTCTGCTTTCAAATCTTACGCCAAAAGCCGACGGACGCACAACAAAGACCAGCCAATGCGTTTTGAGGAAAATACGCAAAAAAGACAGACGTTATGCGGCTATACTTTTGACAATGGGGAATGCAGTGACAGGGAATTATCTTCCTTGTGAAAAATACTAACAAATGATGTGTCGCACATATTAATGTTTAAATTAAGAGTCGATCAAACTGCCAATTTAAACTATAAACTATAAGCAACTTAATACAGAAAGTTTATGTTGACAGCTTTTACAAGGGGGAAGTACCTGAACTTGATACAGATACAAAAAAAAATCCAAAAGTGGCACTAAGAGCACACATTCTAAAAGTAGAAATTTTCTACTACCTCTTGTATACAACTTTATTTATGGAATTTACTAACAAGGATAAGCTAATTATGGACCAACCACCCAGTTATCTGTTCTATAATTATACATCCTGTTTACAGTTGTTGTTTATCTTTATTACCCATGATAACAGAACTTCATGTCTTTCGCGCAAATATCATCAAACTGTATAATGTTATAATAGACACCCCAAAATTTGTATCCTTTTCTACTGCCAGATTTGACACAAAAAAAAGTATATCACCACATTGTTCCACATTAACACCTACCACATGACTTTTGTAAGCTTTTTGTGAAGATCATGTGATTGGACAAACGGACAAACACAGTGAATATACCAATGGCCCATCACACAGAATTTAGTTTGAGTAGAAGTAATACATACCTTACTAGTTAAATCTCTATGGAAGACATTTTTGGAATGCAAATATTGCATCCCAGACGCGACGTCCTTAGCCAATGACACTCGCACGTGCTGCGGCAGTTCGACGGACCGATTTTGTATCAATTGTTCTAAAGAGCCGCCGTTTATATACTCAGTGAGGGCGTGAAGTTGTCCCTCGTGAACGCAAACGCCCTGGAAACCTAATATGTTTGGGTGCGACAGTTTGTTCATCAGCTGAACCTCTTTGAGCATATTGCGGCGATTGGAACGTAACAAATTCATTTTGAGCACCATCACTTGACCCGTCGTACGGTGGGTTACCTGCAAAAAAGAAAAAAAAAGTGTAATGTTCGTACTTTTAATGGTCGAATACGATAACAAAACACATCACTCGGAATCTTCGGAAATTTCCTGTTCGGGATTTTAATGATCTTCAGAATGTACAGGGTGGACATTTTTTCCAGACTGAATATCTCAAAACAATTTTTTTAGATGAGGCGTTTTAAGGTAACGATTACAAAAAGTTTGCTACTAATTAACGTGCTTTAAATGTGTGGCCAGTGGCGTACTTCTGCATGGTCAAGGGGGGCATATTTTTGATAAATAGCAACAACCATTTTTTATTACATAGGTACTCTTTTATGCTGTTATATCCAAAAAAGTATACTCTTCAATAATATGACATTATAAAAATGCCCCCCTTAACCATGCATGCAGAAGTACGTCACTTACCACAAATTGAAAGGGGTTTTGGACCCCTTACCACCCAATTTTGTTGAATACTTCTTTGTTACACCCTGTATTGTTCTCAGAAAGTCATAAGAATAGAGAATTGGCCTACATTCTTTAGCGCATTTTTTAAGAATTAAAAAAATGTGCTATTGTTTGCGTTTTGTCCGTCCGTCCGGACCCACTTCTGCAGTCTCTACTTCTAGGAGAATGGTCCTAGAATCCTGAAATTTTTTGCAGTAGGTACCCTATACCTTGAAGGTGTGCCAGACGGCCATCAAATTTCGCTGTCTAAAAGGGGGGCCCCCCCACGAATTATTTCCTGAGATGCTGTTTTCGAAACGACAACCAATTGGTCCAGACTCGGTCTCCGATTTTCCATACGCATGCCTTTAGTGGTGCCAAGTGAAACTTTAGAAAATGGAGGGGAGGGGGGGACATGTTCTACCCTTCATGGTATTCTAATGAAAGGTCTCATCGAAATAAATTGGTTTGAACAAACTATATAACTTTCCCGTGCGACTCTTTTCCGAGATCAGTGAGCGGGGGGGGGGGGGGTAAAATTAATGTTATATCCCATTGTATTCTAATTAAAGATCTCAACGAAAGGAACCGTCTTCTACCAACTAGTGCCCTTCTTTCTGTCCTCTTATCAAAGGGGGGGGGGGGGGAGGAGGAATTAATTTCTACCAACCATATCCCCCCTCCTCGACCTCTTATCGTGATCGGATATATTCCCTTATAGCTCAAGAACGGATTGTCGGAAGGGGGTACTCACAAAGGGCGATTGAGACGTCTGCAAGATATATATCCATTGGTGATGTCAAAACAAAAGCTATTTCGGTTAAAAAATGCGCTTTATTTGCACAAGAGTTGTGCACAATTTATAAGTACTTGTTTTACATATTTGTAGGTATCTACGATAACCACTGCTAGTGCACTCTAAAACAAAGAACGGGATTTTCTATTGATGTTTTTTTCGCTCACGAGCTTGCATAGTTATTCGTATCAGCCAGATGGCCCTTTATTCTATGCAAAAGTAAGGAAACAGTTGCATTTAAATTTTTCGAATTTTAACCAATGAAATTTTTTTATGCAGCCGTTCAAGTTTAATAATAATAATAATAATAAGTGCCATTTATTAGACCTCTAAAATAAACATAAAGCAATATACAACAGTAAAAAAACTATATCGTAGCCAGAAGCCTAAAAGGGCGAAGTTCAGATGTTCAGCATGAAACATGTGATACAAGGTACAATGAAAAATTAAATTATCAAAGGCAATAGCTATTGATGACGATAGGAAAAAAAACAAAATACAAGGAAAAGGAAGGAAATTGCGAGTAAATGAATGAAAGAAAGACAATACCTTAAAAATGGTTTTTAAAAGTAGCGTTATTCATATTTTTCTTTAATTCAATTGACAGGTTGTTGTATACTTTGGCAATATTATATTTTGAATAAACTTTAGTAAGCGACAGTTCTGTTGAAAAGCTGACAACGAGACTTAAAGGCACCAGATAGTGTTTTGCGATCATAGCCAACATTGTTATTTCTTATGGCCGCCATATTGATTTTAATTTTATTGTAAATTTATTTTAAAAAATAGTGTTCACTTACGTCTTAGGTGGCTCTGAAACAAATGCCGTAATCGTGTCGGTTGCCATAGCTGTGCAACTCTATTTCTATGGTACATATGGGGGGGGGGAGGAATATCCCCCAGTGAGTGAAGGGAAATTGTATGATAATTATACCGGGTGGTGCACAGTAAGTAGGAACATAGGGATTTAACATGGGAAATTAGTTTTATGCAATATCCTGCCCTCCTTACATTTTACAGAAAAATAGTTCAAAGTTGTTCAGAATTAAAAGGTGCATACAAAACTGTTTTTACATGTTTTATTAAACTTTTCGTATAGCCGCAAATTTAAAAATACATTTCAACATTTCTGTTATTAGTAGCAATAGCCATGACTTTTGTTGTTTTATGAATTGCTATTAATAACAGAAATGTTGAAATTTATTTACTTATAATCTAATTATCGTAAGATCATCTTCTCTTCGATCTCCTCCTAACAATATTGTAGAGAACATAGTACCAGGGGGTCCGAAATACTCCCCCCTCCAAGCAGAGAAGGCAGATTCTATTGTAATTATATAACACCCAGTAAATCTCATGATGACTTTTTCGAAATGATTATAGAACCATTGTCTGCTGGGAGCTATTCCATACCCCCCAGACCCCTGGTACCTAACACTTTTCCCCACAAAACTTTTTGCCCTTGGCAATCACATGGTGCTTTATAGGAAAGAATAGTAAGATGGTCTCGAGCATGATCTTTTCCTAGGTCTTCTCCTAAGCAGTATTGCAAAGAACATAGTAGTCTGAGGAGTAAGGAACACCCCCCCAGTGAGAGAAGGGAGATTCTATAATAATTATATAACACCCAGTAGTCTCATAACGACCTTTTCGAAATGGTTATTGCACCATTGTCGGCTGGGAGGTATATTGAGGGCCCAAAACAAGAGAGGGATAATAAAATAAAAATAAAATATAACATATCCAAAAAAACAGGACGAATAGATGCTAAACATTTTCTTCTAACACGGCTTCTGATGATGACCTGAAAGTGACTATTTAGAAGAGAAGAGAAAGCCTTTTTAGTATTTTGTAATAGCATCTGTTAATTGCACCAAGGTGGAATAACTGAGTAGGTACATGTTGAAGGTACATTATGTAGAAAAATAGATTTTGCTTTGCCTTAAATTTCTTCTCTACCATGTCTAGGTAGATTACGAGGTAGATTACATACCAATATTTCCTCCTAATATTGTTTATTATTTGCAAATGATATTTAAAGTTAAAAAATAAAAATGAAAACTAAAAACACTGGCCCCTAGGGCTTTATTTCATCCATTCCTGGTTCTCAGTAACTGAAATCTTACATGGTCGTAACTGTGGTCAGTTGTTATTTGCCTTCCTCTGGTTACAAACCGTTTTAAAAACAAAAAAAGGCAACAGTGCAGATATCTACACTCTCCCCTCAAAGATCAATGACATAGATACAATCAAAATGATACCTACTGCAGAAACCTTTGACGTCAATCATTATCACAGAAATACACAATCGCTCATATCAAATGATAAACTTGGCCCGCAATCTAATCGATAATAAACAAATTAATTCTCTCACCTTAAAAACCTCAGAGAAGAATCCGGATCCGATTTTCTCCTGCTGGAAATCGTCGAGACGATTGAGAGACGCGACCGCATGTCTCAACGCCTGACACGAAGCGCCGGTCTTTAGTTTATCGCAGCGCGTCTTAGACGGCTCGGAGAGTTCGTTTGATCTCGCCGCTTTTTGATATCCGGCATCGTTGGGATCGCACGGTGTGTCGTATATGCAATGGGTGTCATTGGAAAAGTGCATCGTGGGAGATTCAGTTTTTATCCAATTTCGTACATGGCAGATATTTACGAAGCACGATATTACACATAATTTTCGAAAAGAGGCACAAAAACGCACATTATTGTAAGGCAGCTGACTATAATTTGTCAAAGTTCACATTTCCCCAACTGTCATTTCCGTCTGTCCAAGTTGATATCACCTGATAAGAGCACACCACAAATTAGTATCTGCAACAAACAAATAATGCAAGTGTTGATTACATTTCTCGTCTATTAAAAGAAATTTCTAGAAAGCTTGATATGCAACTTACTGCACGTATCAAAATACGTAGGAGGAATGTTTTTTTTCGTATTTTTAACGGATCAAAAAAGCCCACTTTCGGTACTCACCTTCAGCGGACCTTCACAAGATTTATTCTTTTTATTATTAACATCGCTTTTACCAGAAAATCATTTGGGCTGCGATAGAAATAAAATTATTGAAATTGTGGCAACCTTTCACTGCCATCTTTTTCTCATCTTCTGCAATATACAGGGTCGGACCGGACACCGAAGCTTTACATGGCGGTATTCATCTGACCTGTGAAAGTTCTCAAATTTCAAGAAAAAATGTTATACCATCGAAAGGACGCTCTAATGTTTTGCAAAGAAATAAAGTGAAATCTCCGGATAAATAATAATATCGTTTATAAATAAAAATGATTTACCCATATCTGATATTAAGGTATAGGGTGTTCCTATAAGTAATATCTGTTTACAGTCACCTTAAGCACTCTTTGGAATCGTTTTTTGTTTCGGTATATCCGTATAACGAATACATTGTCTGTGCAAACAGCTCGAATGGTGTTGTTAAAATTAGATATCTACGTGGCTAAAGAATTTTATATTGAAATAAACCGATCATCATGATATCTAAAAACGCATCTTATTTCCTCTGTGCTATCAAGAGGTCCAGTGTAAAATTAGGAACTTTTTTTGGAAGTTTTGAAAACGTTTCAAGGACATTTTTTAATGAATCCCGTAATAAATGTTCATGCTGGAGATGGAGCAAGGGCTACTAAAGGTACTACACTGTTTGCCATGGATTACTTGCGATACAGATGTTTGGGAGAAGCCCCCCCCCCCCTCGTCAGTACTCTCATTTCCGTCTAAACTGCTGAACCGATTGGAACCAAATGGTCCACATATTTTTAGACATAAAAGAAAGAGCTAAAAGCGATCGGGCAAAGAGCGCATGCGCAATCTGGTGCTAGCCACGGGAAATTTTTTTGATTATATTGACTCAGATCTTGTCGGGAGCGACCACATTATCTCTCTGTCGGTACCCACTGACGTCCCGTTCCCCGCAATTCGCGTTTGAAGTGTTGACTCCACCATCAGTATGTTCTCTCGGGGGTTACCATATTCCTTTTGTCGGCATCCGCAATTAGGGTTTGATGTTTTGATTCCACCATCACCAGCACCATCAGTAAGAAATTATTGGGGGCTACCACGTTCCTTTTGTCCCTATCCAGTTCCGACGTCCCGTTCGCCCGCAGTTCGCATTTTGGTGGATTTCGCTAAAAACCCACCACAAAAGTACTCAATGTTGGGCTTCTGCCATTGGCGACACGAGAAAGGGAAACTGCCATATAGAGCTCTAAGAAACTTTTGGACGTCCACAGTCGACTACCCCCCGAAAACACGCGCCTTGCAAGTTGCAAAAGGTGGTTAATTTCTACCTTAGAAAAAAAAACATAATTCCCACCCAGAAGTTGTGCGGGTTTACAATTGACCTTACCGACCCCGACGACACCAATAGAAGATAGCAAAAAATTGAAAAATCTTCAGGTTAGTCAAACACGCTCGGGGATGGTGCCCAGATGTCTCCGACCCCACTATCATGTAACCCGTCCATAAAATTGTTAATTACACGGCCCCGGTAGGTACAGTACATTCACCCGTCTTTCTATACAGCATTCATCTATGGCCTGCGGCATTATTGCTGCCAGCCGGCCAAAAATGAGATTAAAAGCTACCTTTTTACAAACACATTAGCAAAAATGCGCTAAAAATAGATCTACATATACATCTACATTTGGTGTAGAAACATAATTAAAAAGAGCTGTTGAAGGTCGTTTTTCTGTTTCCTTGATAAATATTTCAAATTCGAAATTTTCAGTTTCGATGAGGCCAACTCACCTCTTCACACATCGATACACGTCTGCAGATTAGGAAAATAATTAATAGGTTCCTCTCTAAGCATCAGCGACAATAAACGCGTTGCATAAAAGCACCAATTTAATTCAAGGCACTTATTGACTCGTTGTTAAAGAGCGTTGGGCTACATAGCCGGAAGTTCAGATGTTCGAATCTGGGCAGAGGTAAGAATTTTTCATTTGTAGCAGAGATGGGAATTTCCTTGGAGCACTTTCGAGCATCCTGCAGTCTACTCTGAATTTAGATTTTCCTGCCGTTTTCCTAATTCGTAAGGTAAATACCGGAGTAGTATAATAAAGCACTTAAGACCTTCTGTAGGAACACCTCTAAAAAGTATTATGACCCAGAACAAGAGAGGGACATATAAAAGGGCACATACATGATACAAATAAGACAATTCGTTTAGAGAACGCGTGTTTTGCCGCCATGCGACACAAAACGCGTGCATAAAAGCGACCTAAAAGAGTCTTATTGTCTAATAAGTCCTTATATCAAAGCCATACTGATCGACTTTTAAGTGCGTTTGCTTAGAAAGAAAGAATAAATGCAAATTTTGAATTTTTGGGACATTTACCTCCCAAGCATAACATTTGGGATCCTGGATTATTTTAATAAATATTTGTCCAATATCCAATGTTTATATATACTACTATTGCAATTATTGTTAGTGGCAGAACAAAAAACTAAGATTCATTCCAAAAATTATCTTGATGCACTGGGATTGCAGTAATCCCACACGAATTCTAAAAGGGCTGTTCTGTTCACCAGAACTTAATTGCGATTTCCCCCTCAGGTACAATCCGAATGGATGGTTCAAACTGCCCATTTTTTTATAGTACAGACGTAAAATTGACATTATCTTACCAGAAAAAAGTAGATTTTAGCCTTAAAACAACATTAACTTGGACTGTCAGCTAAAGCGCATTGTAGGTACTAAAGTTACTAATAAATATGTTATCTGCAAAATTGACATACCTAAAAATTCCAAATAGTTGCCAAATACGAGTAAGTACATCTGGGAAATAACACATTTATTTGGGAATTTACAAATCTTTCTGCAGGTAATTCACAAAGTATATCTGGAATTCCCGTCTCTTTGAACTTCAATACTTCACAAAGCAAATAAAGGCTTTGGGGACATGTGAGTGCCCAATCGTTAATAATACATTCCAGGATTGTAAAATACGTACTATTACATTACAGAGATTTGTATACTCTTAAATCTGAATTTCTACTCATCACAATTAATCTCTGATCAATACCAAACCCAATTTTCAAAATCAAATACCTGACTCTGATGATAACTAAGTGAAACTCTTGGGTGAAAATTAATAAAAACAGTACTTAATTCAACGAGAAATATTTAAATACCTACATAAACAGCAGCAGTAACTAAAAACACTAAACATTTCACGATACAAAATGTGTAACACTAACAACATGATTACTAATTGAATCGATGAATTCATTTAGTAAAAAGTAAAATGTATTTTTTACAAACAAAAGTCCCACAACTTTCATTTCTCCACTCACTGCATTGTATTACATGCTACACCATTTGCATAATGAAAGTGACACATCAACAATTAACTACTTCTTTAAATAACTTAAATATTTGTTCGAATCGAAACCATCCTCAATATCCTCCACATATTTCACCTTTTGTTTGGGTTTTCTCTGTTCTAATCTTTGTTTTCGTTCCGTTTCACTGAGCGTCCATATGTTGACCGGTAACTGTAAACGACACGATAGGTTTTTTTACATCGGCCAATTACTTACTTGAATGATTTGTCTGGGTTGATGGTATCGAATGGTCACGGATGCGCCGTCTGGTTGCACCAGCACTGTCGGGTACATCCTGGCGTAGACCTTTCGGTGTGGCCTAGTGATGCTGGCCGAATTTGCACTTATAAAGCGTAACTGGCCTACACTTCTCGCAAGCATTGGTGATAGTCAGAGAGACGGCAAGAAATATATAACCTAAAATATAAAGAATGTTTTCGTTGATCGCCAAAAAGTAAGGTTAGGTGACCGCTTTCTGTTTGGGTAGAATGGATGAAAGTGCTCCGAAAAGAGGTCGTGGTAGAGGCCGTGGGGGCCGTGGCAGAGGTCGCGGTAGGGGCAGAGGTCGTGGTAGAGGAAAAAAGGCGATCAAAGTAATCGAAAGTGACGAAGAAGTTGATAATTCGCAAAATAAAATCGTTACCGAAGAACCTACTGTGCAGGAGGATGCCGAAGCTTCGGCACCTAAAAGTAAATTTCATAATCAGATCAGAGAGGTTCATTTCATTTGTTTTTGTTTGACAGTTGACTTGGAGGCCGACATATCACAATTGGAAGCGCCTACGTTTACGACAATTAATCGAGGCCCTCCAGAACCTATGCTTCGGCTCGATTGGAACCACAAGGTTAACTTAATCGGTGAAAAAGTGTTGAATCCGATGATACACTGCTGTGACAAATGTTTAAAACCGATTCTCATCTATGGACGAATGGTAGGTTTAGTTCACAGATTCGCATCATTCGACTGATTACATTTTAGATACCGTGCAAACACGTGTTTTGCTTAGCATGTGGTAAGAAGGAGCAGAAGCAGTGCGCCCGATGCTTAGACAAGGTGTCGCGAGTCGAGCAAACTGGTTTGGGAACCGTTTTCATGTGCACACACGGAGGTGAGAGAGCCTTTAGGCTCAACATAGCAACTAGATCTCGAACTAGATGAACACCTTTTTAGTAACTGAGTAAACAACAATTTCTGCTATACGAATGTAAAGTACAGCCCTCTCACTTCACAAAACGATTATCACAGTTTTTGTATTATTTTGTTCAATTGGACAAAGCGCTGATAAACTTTTGTAGCTGACCATTATACAGGGTGTTCCTAAATATGATCTAAATACGGAAGGGGCTAATTTTTTGACCTAAAGGTTTATATGAACGTAGGTCCAGAAATGCTTCATTACCTACTGATCTATAGGGTGTTATAGTTCTGCCGTACACTTTACAATTTAAATTTTAATTTATAAACATATGCAAACACAAGATACAATTTTCAATGCCAACTGTCAAAACTAATAAAAACAACATATTGTCCCAATAAATCCAGAGCCTACTGGTCAATTTTAAAAATTATACTACCAAAAATTGATTTTAATTTTTTTTCTCGACAACGGTCACAGACACGAAAAAATTACAAGAGACTAAAAAGTTTCTAAACAAAGCAGAAAATGAAATTATTGTTTCACAATCTACAAGTGGCGCAGTGAAAATGTTCCGGGGTACAAAATAGAACATTACCCCTGAAAAAACAATACCCTGTAGATTTTCACTACCATTGACCTGACCAATAGAAGCCTTTCAAAATAAAATTGCAATCCTTGGGCTTTGTGTAGCGAGGGGCTACATTTTAAAGAAAGTATTCGCTACTTTTTTTGGACAATTAACGGTAGTTGTACTTGTAACATGTTACTATTAGCAAGTAGCGAGCTCAAGACTTGTATTGGTGACACGAATATGAAAAATGTTCGATTTGAGAATACACTAAAAGGTCAAAAAAGACCACCGAACGAAATTTAAATCACCCAACTGAAAAATTTGCTCTTTATGAATTTAAGAACAAAAGTCCATTTCTTGACAACTTATGAAAAAAAGAGTGACTCAAAGTGGACAAACATGCAAAGGCTAGGTGTAATGTACAGCAGTTAAGTTAACATCTTGAAAAGAGTGGAGCTTGGGGTGGAATATCTTTTCGTATGATTTTTTCATTGTGTGGACAAGATTTGCAAGTGGGAATATTTGTTCATATGAGTACACGGTCGTTCAAATTCTGGTTCAAATTCCTGGCTCACCATTGGGATCTCTATCATGGATAGAGTGTAAGTTAAATGGGGGCCCTTTTTGTGATTAAAAAAACGTATTTGAAATTTTTGAAAAATCTTTGAAAGTAACTGAGATAACACTGAAAAACTGAAAATGTCAGATTTCATTTTTATTTCTCCAGTTTAAATGGTCCGGAATAGACGATGTCCGTGACTACTTTTTTCGGAGAATCTGAAGCTGTTATCAGAATTTCCATAGCACGTTAAATGTAGATGCTAAAGGCTACTACGTTCTTATTTCTTACGGGCGCCATATTGGATTTTTACGGAATGAGATATAGAGGGCAAAAAATGAAAAATAATGATGTGTCACTTTATCCTTTTACATAAATTTACAAGAAAATTTTCAAAATAGAACTTTTACATTCATTTATCAACCAAACAACCACGAGTAACTAGATGGTGCTGAATCAACATGGTTTTGATGATGCATTCAAATGAATTTCTCTCATTCCGTAAAAATTCACTATGGCGTCCATAAGAAATATGAAAATAATAGCCTGTAACTTCTACATCTAGCGGCTTATGGAGATTCAGATTCTCTAAAGAAAAGTGCTCATAGAAGGAGGCAGCGGGAACTATCCATTTCCGACCGTTTCAGCAAAGGAAAATGTTTTTCGATGATATCCCAGTTACTTTCAAAAATTATTAAAAAATATCAAATGCGTTTTTTAGTCACAAAAAGGGGCAACTTGTCCTCGATTTAACCTACACTGTATCTCTCACTGTTGCGGATACCCCAATGGTGAGACACTAATTTGAACGACCCCGTTCAATATGTATACATGATGTAACAAATAAATAGTTTACATTTAAAAAAATTAGATTATAGGGGAGTGCAAATTGTAAAATTGGAAAAAGCACATCGAAAAACCTAGGCACGGCCGTTAGTTCCAACTTTCTATACTATATCATTGCGGAGAAGAAAATTGAACAAGTTGGGAAGTTAGTTTTTTTGGAAAAGAATATTGTGTTGCTCTCTCTATCGCCAAATGCTTACACATTTATATGTCACATTCTAGAGGGAGATTCATGTAGTCCGTTCGTTAGAAGTTTTTAAACTTGCAGTTGAAATAGAAACTTGAAATTTAGCCATAATCGCCATGATCGACCATTGCAAATTGAAATAAAATAATTTCAAGACGGCGACGTTTCCGTAAATACCGGAAGCTGGCACCATCTTGGGTTTTTTTAAATAGAAACCTACAAAATGGAACTTGACGAATTTAAGATTTGCGTGCCTACCCATCTGTCATACATTTTGACATTATGTCAATCTTTCATCATATTTGGAGCTACAAGGGCCCATTCAAAAATTCATATCTCTTAGGGCCGGTTCTACAATTACACCTTTACAATCTAAGGGATTTTTCAAGTTATCGCTGAAACTCTTGAAGTAGTTTCCAGGACCACTGCGATTTTGCCAAATTGGCAATCAAAAAATGTCAAAAACTTTTTCAAATTGCAACTGCTATTTCTGATGCCAGAAATGCATAGGTATATACTGTATTCATTTTAAGAAGGTAGCGGTAGAAAGCATAGGGAAACTTTGACTTTCAGTGTGATTGGTTAAAACACGATTCAGTATTATACTGAAACACAAAACGAGTAGCGAATTTTGCAAGCTGATAGTTTCTGTTGTCAACTAAACTGTCGAAATGTCATTAGCTGTTAATGTCAAAGATTTTTTTCTGTTTGCAGCGCTGGATATTTCTACTTTACAATAATTTGGGGCCATTTTATATTTTCCCTGTGTGTGTTTATCTTCAAACACAGCGCCATCTACTACCTTCTTATAATGAATGAAGTATAGATTTGAATTTTAGGGTCACTTTTATTACATAATATAATGCTATTTCTATGGAAACGACCGCAACAGCAGAACCTAAGCTTACTATTTTTGACGTGTAAATTAAATTCACAGTTGTCGAAACCTTTACAATGATTTATATGGCTTCTGCTATGAAATAAGGTTTGGTATTATACACGACGATAAAGGAAAACTAACCAGCTCTTGAAAGATAATTCACTCAATGGTTAAAATATCCCTTTATCGTCATGTATAATAAATAACTATTAATTTAGGGATTTACTGTTTATACATAGCACTAATAGCTACGCTGATTTAAAGAAAAGTCCAAAAATCAGGTTTTTAATCTCTGTTTTTAAGTCATTAATATTTTTGTGTTGTGAGTAACACACATAAAACTGCCAATCTTTCGCCATTTATCCTACTCCGTATAAAAAGGGGAAGTACATAGAAAGCCTATATTTCAGGCGTGCAGGGACCGACGTACAAAAAACAGGAATCTGTTAGATTTTAATACCACAAATTACGCCAGTTTGTTAGCGACCTATGAACAAGTAATATGAAGAACCTTTTCATGATATTCCTCAATGAATATTCCTACATGTAGGTTTTGCTAGCTTTTTGACTATTGTTTTGTTAAAATGCAATATTTATTTGTGTTTTGTTTTATGACACAATAGCATTTGTCTCTTGATGAAAAACCATTCATTAGACTCCTAGGGATCTAGTTACAAACCTCCCAGAAAACCAAAGGCGTCTACACTTTTAAATTCAGTTTTCGTAATTTCAAAACAGAAATTTGTCACGAATTTCTAGCAATTTTTGGGCAGTTACTTTTTTTAAAATAATTTCATTAATCGTTGTGAATCGCCGGGTTCGAAAGCAAGACCTGCCACATAAAAATGCGCGATGGCACATCACAAGCTTTCAAAGTTTTTATTTACTACACGAATGGTGGGTTGATACAATCATTACTATCATGCAGAAACAGCCAATAGAAACAAAGATATGGTTTCGTTGTTAGCGACACATAATAATGAAAGTAATGATTGTATTCCTGTCATAATATATTGTTCATTTCAATAGGTACACGTTACGGCTCGTCGGGGTGTCGTCGAACATACTTGTCACAACGTGATCTTCAAGCACACATAAACCATAGGCATGTCTCATGCCTAAACCAACCAATGGAAATAATCGAACCCGAACGTACCACAATAGTGCGTCCGAAAACTGCAGGCGACCCTCGCACGCCGATGTCGATCTCCACGAACGTCCGTCAACGGCCAGTGCAACAGTCCCCAGTGCCGTCGGGCGTACGAACCAACTTGATCACGGTACCGATTCAAGATTCCGTTCCGGTCGTTCACGAAACGATAACGCCGGCCGCTTCGTACTACAACCAATACCAGCAGACACCCAACTATAACCAAACGCAGATGCCCCCGCTTCACATACCGCCTCCGCAACAGCCGCAGTACTACGCCACCGCGCCGGCGTACAGTCCGGCCCAAACTTATCCCACCTACGGCAACAGTGCGCCGCCTGTGACGCCGCAGTACGCCGCGAATCCTTCGACACAAACTCGACCCAATCCCCAATACGATTATACCGCCGGTCCGCCGCAATGGACTAATAACCAACAATATTATCGTTAATTTATCGTACATTTAGTATTGTAAGTTAATAATAACAAATGAATTATTTCTTATTTTTATTATATCTGATGTGCATCTACTTGTAAGTGGGCGGAGTTTCAGCTGCGCACTTACAAAACTTCCATACCTGAACCATATTAGTAGGGGAGCCAGCTCGAAATCCATTGAACGAGTGTGATCAAAATTTTAACTGAATGAGTTTCACTTTGGCCTACCCGAGTATGCTAAAATTGATCGTCTGTCGCCTCAGGACATATGACAAAGCGCTGATGCTGTACTTCTTGCGGTACCAATTTTAGATGGTTGTTTTTTGAGAAAATAAATTATACATCTAATGAAATGAAAACGTTGATAATAGCTCTTAAAAAAATCGCAAACATTTGATATCTCTGTAATAAAAACAATTCTTGGTCGGTTTTTCACGAACTCTACAGCTGTAACTGGATTACGGTTGGATGAATGAAGCTGACTTCTCTTACAGACTAATAGTAGGTACTGCCAATGACTAGGACAGTGTTTCTTTTTTAAATTTTTTCTCTAATTATAAGATATGTTATAATAATAAGGTAATCTTAGAATTAGAGAAAGAGCATATTACATCAATACATAATACTATAGCGAACATTCTAGAATTCCCGATAGACATCGAGGCGCCATAAAGGACTAGTAATCGGCGATAAGAAATATAGGCTATCGTCTATATAATTTAATTGATTTTCATAGGGACATTTTCTACTACCCTAGTTTGCTTGTATTGGACTTATGTTGTTAATTTTAATTTTCTTGTCTCACCTCCGGCATTTACCTATTTCTTTATATCTGACAAACATTGTTCTGCAATACATTCTGTTCTGTTTGTTTTCTATGTTCTACAGGTTGTAAAATGTGCCCACAAAACGAGTGCAACATTGAACTAAAACCTCCAATAAAGATACGGGTATGGGTTAACTTGAGAATGGCATTCCTACATATGCAAAGTGAAAAATAGATAAGGGTTTTGCATTTTGAACATGTTATAAATAAATGATAACATTAATTAAAACACAAAAATGGACAATAGAAACTCTCTTGCTTGACCTTTGAAATAACAAAACCTGTAACAAAAAACATGAAAAAAGTTAATAATTTCAACGCATTTCTACAGCAAAGGGTGCCAGGTCAGGACGCGGATCAGAGTGAATGAAATACCAATAACAAAATAAATAAAATCAAACATTTTAGAGACTAAAATTATTTATTTAATAATCTTATATTACAAAAAGTAACAATATATACAGGGCCTTACAAATCCTGGAAAGACGACAAAGTAATTGACAGTAGGACCCTGTACAGTCATCTTCTTTACACATAAATTAAAACTGACTATAAAGAATGTCACGTGGAAGGTGAACTAGTAACAACAGTCGTGGGAACGGTAACAGGATTTGTAATGTTAACAGGTGTGGTTGATGTTTGCACATTTGTATTACTAACAGGAATTGCGATGTGAAGGGGGCTCGGATTTGGTTTTATTGGTTTTGGAATTAGTAGCTGCTTATCTTGGGATTTCGACAAACGCTCGCTCAGCGCTTTCAACGCAATTTGTCTGAAAATGAAGAGTAGTCGAAGATTATTATTTTTGAAATCTTACCTTCGTCTTTCCATATCGTGCTGTTCTGAAGCTGGGACTGAAATGGTCACACCTGTCGGATTTGCCATATCGAACCGCCTCACCACTTTCCGACACAGGCCAATTTTAACCAACATACCGTGAACTGTATTGCTGATGACGGCCACCGGAGGTTGTATCACATTAGGAAAAAAACTGCAAGTACGTCTTAACTTAATAACAAAATATAAATGCTGATTACCTTGCAAAGGTAAAGTAATCGGCCATATCTCCGCGGCTTCCATTCGGGTGCCTTTGGTAAAAGCGCAAGTACACCCAACTAACCAAGACTCCGCTTAGAAACATGGTTGGATACGTCCCTTCTAGCAATCCCACAATCCAAAGTATCAGTGAAACAAAAAACACGGCAAGAGGAATATTTCTGTTACTTAGCTTGCCCAAGGGCGTCTTCAACAGGATTAAATCCGGCATAATCTGTTTTACAGTAACCGAAACGCCCGCCACGTAACCGGCAAGTCCGTAAATGTGAACCCGAAACAGTAGGTCTGTATTAAACGTACACATATACAAGATAAAGTAAAAGGTAGTACTCAGTATTGCCACACCGAAATTAACAATCGCAAAAAATGTAATCATCTCCCTCTGACCCCATAACGGCTCGATTAGCTTCCCACATAATCCCACTGTCACTATGTCAACCAGCACTTCCCAGAAGTGTAACTCGAGAAAACAAAACGTGAATATCGTCCATAACCAGAAGGATGAAGGTGAGAGATAGCCTGGAGTGACCGAGAGCACTCGGACAGCTTCCTCTGAGTATGATAAACCGTAGCCTAAGAGAACTACACCACATATAAGTTTGACAGATGTGCTCGTATTCCCAAGAAGTGCCACTGATTGTTGTTTTAAGTATGGTATATTCCTATTTAACGTCCGAAACATAGCCATTTCTATTTACTTCATTTAGGTTAGGTTTTCATTTCAATTGACAGCTGTCATGAGATCAGGTGGCTGCATTCAATAATGTTTATTAAAAGGTAGTGATCTATCAGCCAATTTAATAAGTGGCAACACTGTGTTAACGCTATGGTTCTGTCTGGTGAAAACGTGTTCGTTACGGTTTGGACAACTGTAGACACTTATCTGGTCTAAACCTCCGCCGCAGTAGCCTTACGTTTCGACCACATTGAAGAGATCTCCTTATTCAATTGATACGACGTCACCTTTTCTTAAGTCAAGGTGCGTCGTTGTTGATAAATCACCTCGTAGATAAGAGTTCTGGAATTTCGGCGCGATCGAAGTATGCGTAACGGTTAGTACCATTACAAGTATTCGCACTAAATAAAATTGATCCTCTACGACATTTGTAAAAATAGACGGGCAAAATAGACTTTGTCTGTAGAATCCAAAAATGATTAGAATTTTTACGTCCAAAACACCCGAAACGTGAATAAATACCACAAATATTCCAGTTACTACTTACAGACCATTTGGTGCAACAATGCCCAAATAGTGTGCGTGACTTGCATCTAAAACTTCAAAATGCCTATTTTCTCACTTAGACCATTAGTATATTATATAAATTTAATTTACCTTAGTTGTAACACAGATATACGTAAAACCGTACATCTGTAGGTGTAACGTCCTCATAGCAATTTTGTTTGCACCACCTCTTTGCTGAAGCGACACAAGGATTGCCGCTTCTAGTGGATTTGGGTACGTGTGTAAAAAACAAATTTTAAATGAGTTTCTATAATCTTAACCTATCTAGCGAAAACCAACACCAATTTTGTTTGTAATAATATTTAACATATGAACACTAACTGATTTTTCTTTTATCGGAAAGCTCAATTAATTTTTTTCATATTGAGCCATACTCCATTTGCGCTTTTTGTTATAAATGCTCTTGGTTTAATAACTAATGGAATTTCTGTTAGGTGAGAAGTCGAAAATTCAAAATGCTGCAGTAACTTCGCCAGGCATACTTTAACCTTTGCAATCCCAGGCTTCATTCCTAAAAATTAGATTTGATTTACAATCGTTCCTCTGTATTTTAGAACGCCGGCTTACCTAGGCACATTCGGGGACCAAAACCGAAAGGTATCCATGAGCAGGGATGGCGACTGGAAATTGCATCATTTGAAAATCTTTCGGGATCGAAGCGCTCTGGATTTGGAAATATGTTTGGATCCATGTGAAGTCCGTGAACAGGTATAAACGTTAGGGTTCCTTGATCTATTTCGATTCCAGTGTGCGGATCTGTGTAGGGCTTAGTGCACTCTCTAGGATGTACACTTGCTGGAGCATATTTACGCAATGTTTCTACAAGATTAAATGCAGACAGTAGGTACACCATTTTGGAAAATTACCTTTAACACACTTTTCGAGGTAAGTCATATCCTTGACGGCATCGTAGCAAAAATCTTCATTGTACTTGGCCAAGACTTCGGTCACCTCATCTCTCGCTTTGTTCTGAATATCTGCGTTAATGGCCAACTCGTATAAACAAAAGGAAATTACTGGAGTACTGGTTTCATAATCGGCAATCGATAACATTAAACAATTTGCTGCCACGTGAGCGTCGGTCAGTATGAACGGCTGTGGATTTTTTACAGCATCATCAGTATGTCTTAACTGACAGAGTAAATGCATATAATCGTCACGAATACCATGGTTATCCTCCCTGAATTTGATGTTTTCGTATGCCAATTTTAAGAAAAAGTCGCCTACATCTTTCCTGACTGATCTTATCTTAAAGAAAGTAAGAGGGCTAGGATTAAAGAACGATAGAAATGTGACCAAGACGCCCTTTGGAGATGCACTAAAAAAGTTTTCCAAATAATATCTGAATTCCTTTTCAAAATTGTTTATGTCGTCACACTCTATACCATAAACGCAGGATATTGAAAGGCGAATTGTGTACCTTTCTATTAGATTGCTCAATTTAACATTTTCATTGTCACTACAGCGGATCGTGAGTGTATCAACTAGTTTATCAGTGTGTGTTATAAGCTTTTGGAACATCCTTTTGGTTCTTGCGGGGGTGAACGCCGGAGTCAGTTGCGCACGTAAGTGTCTCCAGCTTTCTCCCTTTAACGCGGCGAGATGTTCACCTACAGGATCAGCTTCATTGCTGTATATTGCATGATTGGAAAAATGCTCAAAATCGTTATTCATTATATTTTTTACTAAATCCAAATCTGTGACCACCAAAATGGGTTTCAACAAGATGTAGATACCTGCCATCGTCTTAGAGTTGCGTTGGCTTTTGTCATAAATGTCTTTGAAATACTCTCGAATCCGACATTGGCTTCTCAACATAGGCAAAATGTTTCCAAAGAGGAGAGTCGGTTCAAGTGGTGAATAAACTCCTTTTCTTTTCCAATAGGTATAGCTGTGCTTAACGTATAATACGATTCCGATACTTACAAACAAGACCGATAAAAGACACCCGAACAGTAAGTCCATTTTGCGCACTTGAAACAGGTTAAAAAACGCAACTGGGCCAACCTCAACAATCTGACCTTGCACCACAAATAAATGATGATAAAAATTCATGTAATCAACTAGTCACTTGGGAAACAAATTATCCTTGAATGAACGAATTCTCATGAGGTAGGTATCCTATAGGTAGGTACACTACTTACATATACCTATTGTTTTCGTTAGTTGTTAATATAAAGTTCTAAAGAAAGCAATTTCGTAAAATAACATGAACTAAAAAAAGGTATAAAAAAACAATTTAATGGGCCAAGCTATTTTGCAACACCTATAATATACGGGGTGAATATTTTAAAACCGATTAACATGCGGCAAAACGTTTTTTGCAGATCGTTGCTCCCCATGTTAACTTAGAGGGTTTATAATGTTAATGACACCAATCAAAAGAAGATTTTTTTCTCATCTAATGATATACGAATTAGTTTATTTTCAGGTGTATTTCTCATTATTTTATCAAAAATTCAGCAATAAATCCAATTAGCAAACTCCTAAATTTCCTAAAGAGTTGAAATCGGTTTTCACACAGACGAAATGGGACGCTCATTAAAATGCACGGAATTTTACTAATTCGTATAGGTATATCATTAGTGGAGGAAAAAAATCTTCTTTCGATTGGTGCCATTATAAACCCTTTAAGTTAACTTGGGGAGCAACTATATCTACACAAAAACCTTTTTCCCATATGTTAATTCCCTATGTTCGGTTTGGGAATATTCACCCGGTAGGTATAAATGGACAGTTTTCGGTGGAGATCTGGAGATAGTAGCTTTATTGCAGGGTGTTTCGAGTGTGGTTTCGAGTAGGTAAAGTACAAATTAAATGTTTAGCTTGCTATAGTTGGCGAACTAATTTCAAACGAGTTCGGTAACAAGTTGAAATATTTGAAAATTGGTTCACAAAATGGTGGCGTAAAGATCGTCTTTGGTGCATACGATTAGGTATATACCTACTAAATGGACCACTTCATTCCATAGAAAAATCTAACATTAACACCCCTACCTTAGGGCGTAATTTGGACTCTATTAAACACAAAACTGATCATTTACATGGTGAAATAAATTTATTCAACATCAAACAACCAAATAAGCTGAAAAAAGAATGGAACTCAGAGCATAGGTAACACACATAATGCAACAAGCGATTGTTGCGACCATTAACGCCAATCGGTACACCCTAGAAAATTAAAAGTACCTAGTAGTTATCTAGCTCCAGGTGACACAAAGACGAAATTTTTTCTGTGTACATTAAAAAATAAAAATCGTTACCTACTATTCCTGTGTTGTGTAGGTACTAAATCGCTATACAAATAATTAAATGATTAATTAAAGAAATGATATATAATTACCTTAAGTGTCATGTCAATAATCCAAAATCTCCGTTAACTGCGATAAATGACGGGTTTTGTGGCGACGCGCCGCATGTATATCCGGCAGCAAACGAAAACCTGCTGCACCCTCATTGGTCAAAACGGCCAACCAATGAGAGCGTAATGTCTCTGGCCGCAAACATTTAAAAGCAGAGCTTCGAAGTCTGCAAGGCAATTCCTGCTTCGACTCAGACGACAGCCCTCGCCGCGTGCACTTCGGCTACAATTTTGTATATTGTCAATATATTCCATGAAACGCAACAGCATTTTATTTAGCGTCGCCCGCTTAACCACGTTCCCGGTTTCAGCCAGCTAATCGACAATCGACACGGAAGATGCCGGGGATGGTTCCCAGGATCCCGACGAACACCTAGACCAGCAAACATGGACGAGTAGCAGTGAAACCTCCACAGTTTTGTAAGAACCACCCCAACCGGTGGTTCCACCAATTCCACATCTTCGGTATCATCAATGATACGACGCGTTATTACACATTGACATCCTCGGCTAGTCTTCGATATCAACTCTCCCCCAGGTAGAAAACAAGTACTTAGCACTGAAAAAGAGATTGGCGACCTGTTCCACGGACACCGAAGCGCGACGTCTGTAAAAACTGATGATGGCAACTAATCTGGGCGACCTCAAACCGTCCCAATTACTTCTACAACTTCGTAACGATAAAAGTTACCGAGATTTTTGCGAAAAACCGTTAACCTTGACCTTTGAACTCGCGTAACATGTTTAGCGGCGCATGGGATTTTAGGATGTTGTTTAGAACCACAAAAGGAAGCTTCGTGCAAAAATTCAGCTTTCCTCTATTTTCCTCGTATTTTACTTATACGCCGTTTTCTGGCCTTCGCTCGTAATGATAGAGCACCTTTGACGGTATTAATTTTTAACACTGCGATGGTGTGATCTTTAGTCGCCACGTGCGCGCCTAAATTATTCTCTTCGCGATTACGATTTTTCAATCGCTGCGACAGAAAATCGCAAGTGCGCGCGAAGCTTAAGGGTCCGCCAAATTTATTCGCTCACAAGTCCATCCCACTGAATAACTAAAGTTATACTAGTGATGTCTTTCAGTCGATGCCTTTTAGAAATACGCATTTTTGTTAAAAAAGAGTTTAATTTGGTTATTTTTAAAATTTAAATAAAATCATTTTAAATTGGCAGTATGGCAAACTTAAATTAAAATTCCTAAGAACTACAATCCTTATGTTGGTAGTAGTTGGTGGAAAAATTAAGTGAACGGCGAAGTTGATCCACATGTGAGTGAATCACTTCAATATTTATTAAATAAACCGTTTATTATCCTCAAACGGGGCATTTTCTTTATTAAGCCAAAAGTGAAACATCGTAATTAGTTAAATAATAAGGTAAGCGCGCGGGATCAAACCGGAACTAATTGTGTAACGAACATCAACATGCCGCGTAACCTCATTGTTTAATAGCAAACTCTTCAAACATACAACCTACTGTAAGTAAACGATTTCTAATTATAGCTCCGCTTGAAAATGATGCATTTATAATCAAACCAAGTTTTCATTACACAAATTATGGATACTGATTCGTTGAGCTTCGGATACGAAGAACATTTTCCGTCCTATGAGTCTTCAGATTTTTTGGTAAGTATCTAATGCGTGTGCTTCTGTACTTAAACCGATTTTAATAGGATGGTGATGATGAAACCCAGAATGAGGACGGCTCTCATTACTGGGATTGGGAAGCCGAACAAGAGTAAGTTGAGGACATTCAGGTTAAATCTCTCACTGTTTCTTAATGTTTAAGGTTGAATGGTGACATAGCTTTAATTCCGATGTCGAGCGATCTTAGTACAAATTATCTTTCCACCTCTCCTCCGGTGCGCGAGGACATTCAAAAGATAATGACAGAATGGCAAGAGTTAATGAACGAAGTAAACTAAACCGCTATCATTTATGTTAATTTAATCGTGGCCTAGGTTTCAGAATTGGAGGCATTTACCACCGATATGTCTTTAACCGATGACATAAAAGGTGATATTATTCCCACAAGCAAACCGAGTAGTCACATTTCTCGTTTGCCCGGTAAAAAAATAGATACAACTGCGCAATGCTATATTCTAAATGATTCGGCGGATCTCGTCAAATCTGAGCCGGAAGAGGAAGATTCCGAAAACGATTTTATCGACGTTGACACCGTTCCTGATCAAACAACTCCTATTCTGCAAGCCGGAGACTTGAACAGTCTGCTAGAACAGTTCGAGGCGACCGAATGCTTTCAGCCGGAAACTGTCCTAGATGAGGTGGTGCCGGAACCTGCGGCGAAGGCGGAGGTCGCCGTCAAGGTTGAACCTGCTACGAAGGTTGAGCCCGATCTGAAGGTTGAACCTAGCGGCGATGCTCAAGACGAAAATAAACAAATTTTGAATGCGCTTCCTCGCGAATTGATTATGAAAATTAACGCATCTAGCAAGCGCAGAGTTGTTCCGGTAATTGATGCCATACCGAACAAGAAACGATCTAGAAAAACGCAGGAGGTAAGTGCGGGCATAGTGTAAGTAAAAGAATAGTGAGACAACCTTTGGGGAAAAGAGAAGATGATTGGGATATCGATTGTAATGTGATAATAATATTTCATTGGGGCCTGTCTTTCATGTGGCAGTTAGACTTGTCTTCTTAACAACTTCCTATGCGATTTCATTTGTTTCAATAAATTAACCATTAGATAGAGTTACCGGTAACGTTTACAACCGGACAATTTCCAGCCTACCTACTTTTAGGGAAAAAAAAGGTTCTTGACAAACAATTGAATTAATGGGTTTAGAAAAGGTAGGTAGGCGAAGTCACTTTTGCTGTTATTGCTGTTTTGTAGACCACAAGGCTTTTGATTGTGCCATTACATAATTAATATAATGATAATTGAATGTCAGATAAATTTAACTGAAAGAACAATGATTAGCTTCAAAGTTACACGATTTATGGGTTTACCAAGATGATCTGATAATAACAGTTTGATAATCAATTAGCACAGTAAATTTAAGGGGAAAACATACTAGCGGTTGATTTTTTGTGTTACCGGTAAATTATGCAATGGTCATTTTCCATGGAAACATTCACATTAGAGGTTATCTATCTGATAAATATGAACACCTGGGTTATATCTTGTTAACCTTTCTTGGTCCCCATACACATTTAGAAAGCAATGCAGTACAGGGTGGTGCAAAAGAATGTAAAATATGATGTGAAAACTCTATCTGGGTCGCACTTTGGATTTGAATAAATACACAATTGACAATGACAAAAATTTATTCCGAAACACGTGAAAGAAATTAAACAAAATCCCTGAAAGAAAGAAAGGCTTATAAAACTTATTTGAAAATATTACCCCCCGCACAGGCTGTCGATAATTAAAAATAAAAAAAAGTTTAAATTACTTACAGTGTTTTTTTCTTAATAATCCAAATAACCTGGTCGTAAAAGGTTTGCGGATACTAGGCGCACTAAACACACACATGTTGACAGCATCTGAACTTCTTTTTTGCTTTATAACACAGAATTAGATGACAAACAAAACTGGCTTAATGAATAAAATATGACAAATGTTATATGGCTATTCAAACGGTAGAACCTTGAATGAGAAGAGAATCTTAACAAAAGGCCCGCTTCAATTTCTTGCTTTTTCAACTCGACAAAACTTTTTCCGTAATTGGAAAACTTGCGTTAACTTCTTTACTTATTATAAAAATGACAAATTGCGTCTTCAAAAAAACAAATAGGGCTGACTGTCCGAGAATATCGCGTAAAAAATGCACACGCTCTTCAACCATCGCGAAACCATCAACCCCGTTTTCTCGTCCCCAGTATTTAAGGAAACGCCACTTCTACTATAAAACAAACTTCTTCAAAAATTTTCAAAAGTCTCCACATGAAACACGCAACATCTGCAGAATTGAAAGAGTGTGATTTCAGAGCAAGGTTGGTATTAATCGCTTTTCCAGTTTTTAAAGATATCCTTTTCTCTGTGAGTTTGTAAACCGTCAAAATTGTTAAGGGAACAGTGAAAATCCTATGAGCAGCGATCTTTGGCAGATGAATGTTTGGTCCTTTTTTCTATGAAAATGCGCGGAGACCAAATGTCACAATTAACACCGAACTTTTTGGGCTTCAGAACTTGAGAATTGTAGGACTCGTTAAACTTGCTTTTAACCAGCCGTTACATTATTTAGTGATCGGAAAAAAAACTTCTTTGTTTATCAAAAGGAATTTAATGTCTGTGTATTTAGCCCGCTTTCTCCAATGCGGGTCGTTATCTTTTGTTATTGCCAGACATACTTTTGTTCATGTTCGCTATGAAGCGGTATATGTGTAAATTTTCCTATGTTTAACACAATACAACTTCAAAACCAAATTTTTGAAACTGCTAATCGACCACTTGTTACAAAACATTATAAATCTTGCCGTTTTTTACAAGTATATTAAGGTTGTCTCAGTATTCTATTCGTGTGGATAGAATGTGAGGGAGATATGACAGATTCTCTTCCAGGTTACGTCCTCCTCCAGTCCGCCTGATGTTCCTAAAATTGTTAAAACAGAATCGGTATGCTTGGATCACGACTACTGCAGTCAACCTACCCCGTACCCGAAGCACCCGCATAAGGATTCCGGTTTTGAATCCGCCGAAGAGGAGGAGCAAAGAAATATTTTGAAAAAACAACCCACAGTCAAAGGTGCAGATGGAAAGTTGATGGTTTCCCTATTGAAAATCAATACAATACGTAATAGCATAGTTACGGAAAATACTACAAAACGTAAATTGAATTTAGAAGAGTATAAGAAACGTAGACAAGGTGTGCTTCGATCACGTAGCAATTCCTCGGCCACTTCCCCAAATGGCAGCGGTGCCAACTCGCCTGCTGTCGTCGAAGATGAAAGCGTCCGTCTGTTAAAGCATCAACAGAAGTTAATGCAAATGGCAGAGGAGGTGTTGAAGACGCCCCCTAAAAGTGCACTTTCACAACCTCCGCCCCCTCCCGCCGTGCCAGATCCTGTCCCCGAACCAGAACCGGACGTACCCATGCCGCCTCCCCTTCGTGTTCCCCCTAAAAATATCGAAGTTAAAACGGTAGTCAGTATGGGAGTTAATACGGATATCAGCATTACTGATGAGTTATTGGATATCAAACCGATACTCCAGAATGCCAACGCAAAAATTAGCGATAACTCCTTAATAAATTCGGTAATAAAAAATATACAGAAGAAGAAGCTGGAAACAACGTCCATGTTCACACCTAAAGCCACTACTGCCCCCGAATCCAAAGAGCAAACGCACGGAGAAGATAAGACTATAGTTTACTTGGATAAAAATCGAACACCTGCCGAAACGAGAAGCGTCGAGGTGCAAACCGAACCTGAAGTTCAAGATACATCGAAACACAAAAGGAGACGAACCAGCAGTAGTGGCAGCGATAGTTCTGAACATAGACGCACATATAAAAGAAGTAGCTCAAATGAATCGCGATCCTCGTATCGGTCGGATTCTAGTTCGTCCTCCAGGTAGGAACTGTAACAAAACTATTAAAAAAAACTGTTCATTAGCAGTGAGTAACAAAAGAAACCAAAGAATTGTGCTCATTTGTTTAGTAACCTCACTTTCTATTTTCATTTTGAACTACTCGGTGTTCTCAATTATTAGTAGGTATAAATTAAATTGAAGCTATGCGATTATTATTGAAAAAAAACTGAGTTCAAGTGTAATGTAAAATATCGTTTAATAATACTGGGGTGGTTCAAATTTTTTAAACGCCTTTGAAATGGTTCCAGTTAGCACTTTTTAAGGGTCTATTTTTCGGATATGAATTTGTTATCAGAATTTCTATAGCACGCTTATAACAGTAAGATTAGGCTGGCGCTGTTTTGCCTCGAACCGCGCCGCATAAATGGCCAGCTAGCTCAGGGTTGAAAAATTTAAAGATCTTCCACAGCTAATCTTTGGTAATTATTCATCACAACTTACCATTAGTTGAGCGCCACCCAGTTTATTAACATTCTCCCTGTATAAAAAACTAGGAAAGTGCCAGGAAAGTAACAATTCCAATTAACGAAAGAAATACTGGGTTATTCCAATGAATATCAAGTAAAATTATTGATTAAAATTGATTCAAAACTCTTAAACAAATCAAACGTCCAATTAATCCCCATATAATAAGACTTACCGAATCTCATAACCATTCTCAACAAGTCTAGTGATATTCCGGCCAAAAATTCACACAGATAATGCCAAGTGCAAGTAAAAATATAAGAGAAGCTGGACTTTGACGCCAAGAAGTGCCTCATCCCACGCTCCCAGCGAACTGTATACCCCCTATCAGTCCATGTTTTCTTGGATGGGACATACGCGCTGTTTCGGCGGCTGCGCCGCCTCACCTCTCACACCTAACAGATTATATAGTCACCTAGCGGTATGAAATATACCTACGACCTAGTGTCATACCTACCCAAAAATATACATCCGTTGAGCCGTTTCGGAGGAGTGTGGCCACAAACACATTTTTATATAACAATTAGCAGACCCTGCGAACCTCGTACCACTTTTGGGAAATTTCGTTTTCTTGGATGGGCAATACGCACGGCTGGGCCGCCTCATCTCGCACGCTAGGCGAACAATAATTTCTTGGATGAGACATGCGCTCGGTTTCGGCGGCTGCGCCGCGTCATCTCGCCCCCCAGACAAATTTGTTTCAGCCATTTAACCAAAATGATTACATTGAATCGTTATTTGAAAAGCACCTTCTGTTACATCCGGTTGCAACTAAAAAGTATGGCTATACACAATCCATTTTTTGACGTGTGATTGCAATTCATCTCCACCTCACAATTTTAGAAAAAGTGGTCCACACGCGCAATCTATTTTTTAATACGTGATTTTAATTCACTTCTGAGATAAGAAGCCTCTTCGGTTAAAATTTCAGAAAAAAATAGTCCACAAATTAGAAAGTTATGTGCTGCGCATGCGCAATTTTTTTTTGACATTACAATTTGATTTTATTTGAAGCACTTTCTATTAAGAAAGGAAACATTCACCCATAAATAAAAAATAGTTGGGGCTGAGCATGAGCAATTGGTTTTTTGTAACATGTGCATATAGCAAAACAAGTTGTAAATGATGAAAGCGCATTTATGGTAATACAGATCAGTATTTTATTGCTAAAAGTGGTTGTGAAATATCCACAAAAATGGTATGCAAAATATAGCAACAAAATAATTAAACAATCAAATTCTATTCCAAGAACGAAATTGTAGGTGTACCTCTGTAGTAGTGTTATGGCGTAGTTGACCTCTGCCCAGGGGGTCCACAATCCTCTCCCTGAAAAATAAAGATAGATTAGCTTTAGTGCCGATTTAACCCATTTGGTAGTGAAATCCAAATTTTGCGCAATTAAAAAAGTTTCCATAATTCACCAATTCAGCTGTGTAATTACCTTCCAAGTTCAAGTCCAAGTTCATTGAGGTAGTAAAAGCTTCCATTCTTTTTTTTTTTCGATATTTTCTCTAAGTAGCAGTATCTTTCGCCACCATGTTGTGGCAACATTGCATCATCTGAAGCTGTTTTTATTTACAAGGTCTGAACCAGTTGCATACGGTTTAAATATTGCAAGCCTCTATCATTGTACTTTTAGATCAAGATCACGATCGCCTCGAAGAATATTCACTAAGAAACACTACACAAACGAGCACGAACGAATTAAAGAGGTAGAGGAAAGGCGAATTGTTTATGTGGGTGGCTTATCGGCGTCTGCATCCAAGGAAAATTTAAGAAGGCGGTTCCAAGTATTTGGACCGATAACTAACGTCAGTATCCACTTTAGAGAATACGGGTAAGATCGAGACACGCAAACTTCACACTTTACGTTTTTTTTTCTCAGCGATAACTACGGTTTTGTTACATACATGTATAAAACCGATGCTTATAAAGCGGTTGAGCATGGTAACGATGATCCGTCATTGCCAAAGTACGATTTGAGTTTCGGTGGCCGACGAATTTTCTGCAGAACTAATTATTCCGACTTAGGTATGTACGCGCGCCATTTTACGAGTTAATTGTCCGTTTCAGATAATGTGCAGGATGACAAAATGTTTTCTTCTCAAGGCGATGATTCGTTCGACAGTCTATTAAGAGAAGCTAAAGCCAAATTGCGTAAAAGGAAGTCATACTCGTGACCAGAAAATTTCATCTGTCTAGTTTTTCGTTTTTTTTAACATTCTAGTTACATTTTTTATTTTTTTTTTAACTTGAAGCCAACTGATTTATTTAATTATGGAACTAGTTGTGATATCATGATTGAAGCTACGCAGGTTGCCAGACACTACCTTGTTTTTTGTTCTAACTATTATGTGCTGTATTCAATTTTACTTTAATAAATTGACAGTTACATGTTATCTTATCTACATATCGCCCAGGGCCTTTGGGACATTGTGTCGCCCGCTTCCCGTTCGGTACCTCCGCCGTCTCGAAAAATCATTTCCTATATACTGCACTTAACAATAATGTGTCCATGGAAATAAAGAGTATTATTATTATTATTTTTCCCCAGACAAAATATGTTTAATTCTCGAAAAATTGATGAATTCTTCAAATTTGTATTCCAGAGTTCGTTTTTTAGTTATTTGTGCCCCTTTTGTACTTGCTAACAGTATTAGCATCACGGGAGCTATGAGCACCTGTCAAGGAGCCAATGTTGAGAACTCTGGCAATCAGTGGCGGCTGGTGGGCTTCCTATTTAGAGGGGCGCCGAGCAAAACAGACATTTATAAAAAGCAAACAGGCTATTTTTACATGCTTGCTTACAATGTTGGTACTTTTTCAAATGGAATTTCATCCTTCTGTTTTTATCTTAAATGCATTTTTCAAGGACTTTTTCTTAGAAGTCGGGAATGATCTGAACTAGAGTTTTTTCAGCAAAAATATCTCACATAGAAAGCCGATTAGATTTTGACGTTTTCGTAAAATTTTTTACTGAGAAATATTTACGCCGAGTCATTTTGTCACGTAACATGGTGACAAAAACATTTTGGGTGGAAATTTTCTGAAAAGTGTTTCTTCTTACGAAAACAATTTGATGAACGACAAAATTTAGTCACGCTATTTTTAAACACGCAGTATATTCGGCTTACATATTTATTTCCTGAATAAATATCAAATTACACAACACAATTTGACGTTTGCAAATAATCGCTGAAGTATGGACAGTAACCGTAGCAATTCTAATTATTTAAATATAGATAATCAACTGACTGAGTTGTCAATTTCTTTTCCTCAGATACCAAAGTTTTAATTCATTTTCAGAAAGAGCTTTGTACAACAGTTGTAATTAGAAACGTTATTCAATTTTAAAACCTTCATTTGATTTGCTTTTGATGCAAATTTATGACTACGACGTGCCACTGCGATCGCACAATCAAGAAAATGATATAAATACTTCCGTATATACTGAGCAACTGGGCTCTGCAGTTTCCGCCCGCAGTATAAATAGAAGCACGCACCGTTACCATGGAAACCACGTACCGCGCCGGCGCGATAGCGTCTGCGGACTAGCTAACATCAGAGGATTTCGGGCGGACGATAGAGAGCCCTTCGACCGCTCTTTTACGCGCGCTTCATTCATATATCTAACTGATTGCCCGTTTATTTTTATGTAAATAATTCGGAAATTATCTAATTTTTGAAAACAATATTTGTGTTAAATCATAAATGACCAAACATTTATAAAGTGTGAAATATGTGTTACGACGTGATCTATTGTTTCTTGTAGGGGGGGCGGCGCCCCAGAGCCCCCCTGCACGAGCCGCCACTGCTGGCAATGCAAAAAACAAAAAGTTCACACTTTGAAATTTAATTGTATCCGATTTACAGGGTATAGTTCTACCATAACATTACAAATTTCACCTTTAATTTATAAACATATGCAAACACAAGATACATGACTAATAAAAACAAGAGATTAACCAAATAAAGCCAGGGCCTACTGGACCATTTTAAAAAATTTACTTTCATTTGGTAAACATGGAAAATTGATTTTTATTTTTTTTTCTTGATAACGGTCACAAATACAAAAACATTACACAAGACCAAAAAGTTGATAAACAAATCAGAAAATTAATTTTTTGTTTCACCATCTTACCAAGCGCACTGAAAAGTAGTTCAGGGGTAAAAAATGAAATATGACCCTTGAAAAAAACAACATCCTGTAGATTGGGTAACGAAGCATTTGCGGAGAGCGGTATTACAGATTGTTCAAAAGAAAAAGATGGGTATAAACCTCTGCGTCCTCAAACCTGTATATGTAATTTAAGATCAGTTCTTTTTGTGGTCCAATTTTCCTGAAGTGAGTTTCTGGTAGAGTATTCTTCCGGCGGTGGCGAATGCTCTGAGGGTAAATATTTGATCTGTGAATAGTTCTGGGGGCTAATTTTACCTGTGAGAAATGGTGAAGCACCTATTTTTAGCCTTGAAATTTCATACCATAGATTCTCTGGAGTCGACCAGCTCTGTAGAACACCCGGTATCTAGAAGCCTTTTAAATTGGGCGCGCTTCGTTACGAAAAGCGTCGTGCCAAAAGTATTTGTAGTTGTCTTTGTTGCGTCCGAAAGCTCTAATCATTTAGAAGAGGACAAATTAATATTTTAGAATTTCAGTCACGTCGTAATTACGACTATTAGCGGGGTTTCTTTCTAATGGTAAATTAAAATTGCAAGGCCATGCAAGTTGACGCGTTATCAGGTTGATAAGCAACCTTATATCCAAGTAACAATAGGCATATTAATTGTACTACCGATTTTAGAAATTTCAATCCAGCGAATTAAGTAAGTGAAATTAACAGTAGCCAAATAAATGTTACAGTAAGTGGTCATTCCATAGTCATGTGGGGTATCAAAAGAAGCGCTCTGAAATGATTTGAATCCTTTTGGGCGCATTTTTAGGAGGAATCGACTCTCTAAGAGCGAATCTTTTGGCCTGAATTTTTCAAAGCGAATATTTTGGACAAGTTTCTTGGGGCGAATCTGCTATTAACACCATTCTCATATCAGTCAAATTTGACCTCAAACTGATTTTTCCTAAAAAGTCCTGAGGTTACCAAGTTCAAAGTGAGTACCCTATATATACAGGGTTGAACACCTTCTGTGTGCCCAGATTTTCATGTACTTATGCATCAACATACTATACTATACCCCAACTTAGGGTTACCCAGTTTTTGCCTCTTCTATATGTGTGTATAGGTACCTTTTAACACTTGCAAGATACAATTTTGAAACTATAGGTACAGTTCATGTAAAATGAAAATTTTGCTCACAGTATTACATTACCACATCAGCTCACGGTTTTAATGTAGGCCTCTGGCCTAATACTGAGATACAATTTATATTTAGTAAATACAACTCTTGCTAACATTCAAAAGGGTAAATAATAACCTATTATAAATTACATAACAAAATGATATTGGAATTTAATAGACGTGCACCATCCCGTATATAAACGTCCAACACAAGACGTAAGTGAACAATTGTCCAAAAAATCCGTTCGTTAATAGAGCTTTCCGTGAAACGAAGTACTCTTGCCAATTTGATCCAGCTTTCAATAGTAGCATTCCCCACAGGCCTGTTACCGCAAAAATGTAAAATGCAGCACCGTACAGTCCTGTAAAACCCAACATGCCTGAAACATTCGCGTTAGTGTACTATGCACAAAGTTGTGAGGAGTATTAATACCAGCTGTACATCCTGATAGTGCAGCCATTGAAGTTCGACAATATTCAACCACCGCGGAATTGTTCCTCATTGCAACCTCACTGTACGCCACAACATCAGAGCTTTTAGTTTTGCTTTTATTCGACATTTTTTCGATGAAAAACAACACCCCAAATTAAGGTAAAGATCGTTACATAACCTCAAATCTGAACTGAAGTGTCTTGTCATAAGTCTACAAATGTGTTCCACTCCGGATGACAAATGGAAACCTATAAAGAGGGATTTATTAACGCCATGTCGTCGACCCGGTCTCTCTCGAATAATAAGAACGCCTTTACATGGTCCTGAAAACCGAGAATCTCCAGTCAGCTATCAGCAAACATCCACACCATCAAAATCGGTTAATTCTACCCCAAAAAATTACGACAAACCGACAAAACAAAAGGATACCTCAACTTTCAAGCCCGAGGAAAACAACGCAGATTCTGCCACCAAAAATTACGACAAACCCACAAAACAAAAGATTACCACAACTTTGAAGCCGGATGAAAACCACGCAGATTCTACCACTAAAAATTACGAGAAACCCCCAAAACAAAAGGAGACTTCAACTTTCAAGCCGGAGACAAACAACTCAGATGCTGTAATAAAAAATCTTAATGTACAACAAACCACCTTAAATAATCGTAGCGATAATACTATTTTAAACATACCAAAAACTCCCATTGTGAAGATTTCTCGTTGTACTACTACACCTAATACACACAGTGTTAAAGTAAAAAAACACAACCGGCTCTCTATTAAGCGATCTTCGAGTCCAGAAGAACTAAATGACTTTTGCAATACTTTAGAAAATATCAAACCATCAAATGCGTGCGAACTGGAAGATGACGAGACAAAAATTGATGAAACACTGAAACGAATTAAACTGAAAGAAGCTCAATTAGAAGACCTAAAACGTGCAGCAATCTACGCGAAGTTACATAACGTGCAGGAGCTGGACGAGTTAACTCTAGTGTGGAAACAAGGGTGTAACAAGGCACTCTGTTACTTGCTGGAAAAGTTACAAGAGCACTGCCAGATCGAAATGCCCATTCTGTTGAGAAGGTTAAACATTTCTGAAAGTGTAATTGAGACCAGTGGTTTGTAATAAATTTATTTAAGTACAGTGTTATAATTTATTCAAATCTGTGTGGTCTTATTGGGTTTTCCGAGTCGAACAGTTTGGGATCTTTAATAAAGCAAGGTTCTTTGAGGTACACCGCCATCAGACCGGACTTCTGAGCTTTGGATATTTCCAGCTCGACTTGTGCCTGTTTCTCAGCGCACAGTCCCGTGATGTGTTTGCCATAAATCCTTCCCGTGTACGGCGATTGGAATTGTGATAATAGCTTAACGTTCTTATAGTTTGGTATTACGTTGTGTTGGCACAGGATGCACTTGCGCTTTTCTTTCTCAAAAGGATTTTCCATATCGAAGAGTGGGACGTTGGTAGAATTGGAGGTGGAGGTAAGTAAGCGTACCATTGGTGTCCATAATCGGGTAGTACTAGGTAACTTTGCTGGAATAGTAACTGATAATAAAGTAACGCTTAAATAAATTTAACTCACAACGAAGAATTGCATAGGAAAACATTTTGGATTATTTTTTATTTTTTGAATAAAATGTTTGGTTAGGATTGTACCAGTGGCGTACACACATCACATCCAGTGGCGTAACAACGGTTATAATGGGTAATAATAACACACCGTCGGGCAGAGACTTGCTATGTATAACTAGACTGCGCTTAGTATCTAAGGTGTTGTCGACACAGTATGCAACACACAATGCACCGCGGGGTAACTAGTAGTCAAATCTTGGAACTGTTTGAAATTATGGATTCTACAGGCCACATTGTATAAGAAAATTTTTTTTCCGGGTCGATCCGAGACAATTTTTTCTTCGGGCCCCAAAAAAAAGGAGTGTATAACCTTCCTTTTTTACCAAAAATCGACTGCACCAAAATTTCTCGGGAAAACACTTTATCTTATTAATTTTTGTGCGTAGAATCCAAAACAATTCGTACTTTTTCGATCAGACTTCTCAATCAAAAGTTATGGACTAGACACCAATGTCGAAAAAAAATTCAAAGGGCTGTAACTTTTGAACTAGTAGCCCAATCTTGGAACTGTTTGAAATTATGGATTCTACAGGCCACATTCTATAAAAAAATCTTTTTTCCCGGTCGATCTGAGACAATTTTTTTTTCGGGGCTCAAAAAAAGGCAGTACTTTTAAGTTATTCAAATATTTGAGAACAATTTAGAAATGTTTAGGGAAAGTTTCCATTGTCACAAAATCAAATATAAAAATCCGATACAACTGCATACCGAACGATCCTGGAGTGAAACTTTTTGACTGGATAGTCCACGTAACTTAAAAACAATAGAGACCTTTCTTATATCCTTAAGACCATTGTGTACCAATTTTCAAAGCGATCGCACGTTTCTAAACAAACTATCATCCACACGGACAAACGGATGGTCAAAAATGGATCTGTTCCAAAATCGCTAGGATTAATTTCAGAAAGGCGTACGTATCATGTGCACGACGTACGATCACTTTGAAAACTGGTACACGTATTCTTAAGGATATAACTGGTAGGTATAAGAAAGGTCCTCCTATATAATAATAATATTACGCTTTTACTCCCCTGAAATTTGTATATAACAATAGAAATATAAAAAAAGCTAACCCCATACAAAGTATAACTTGATTTTTTAAGTAGTATTAAGAGTTTTATCTAGTATACTATTTTAAATTTTTAATGTATTTGAGTGACAAGTATTTGAATACTTTTTACTGTATTCGTATACTTTTCAAAGTAAGTTAATGAAATACTTTTCAAAGTATTTGAATACTTTTTATAGTATTCGAATACCTTTGATAGTATTCGAATACATTCTAAAGTATTTGAATACTTTTCAATGTATCTGTATCTAGTATTCGCTTGTGCTGGACGTAAAAGTATTTAGTATTCAAATACCTTTGATTTGTGTAAAGTATTTACTATTTAGTATTCAAATACTTTTTGAAAGTATTCTGCCCAGCTCTGGCCACAGGTAATGGTGATGTAACTTTTTAAGCCGGTAACGTAGAAACTACCCTCGCGTGACGCGCGCCGATATCAATCCTAATAAAATGGCGGGTGTAGATAAAAATGCACTGTCACTCACGGACCACAGATAATGCAGGACATCAATGTCCTACATTTAAACAATGGTCCTACATATAGGAACCAGAGAAGTATCCTGAGTAGGTCTTTTCATATATCACTTACCTGTGTTGATGCTTACAAGAATTTAAGTACTTACCTACACTCATATCTGCACGATTTTAAAAAATAGAGTTTCAATTTATTGAAAAATTAATCTAAGTCGTCAATTGTACAAAAATATATAAATACACTAAATGTTCGACATCATTGGTACTAAATCAATAAAAATATACACAGTTAATTTAGTCTCATTGGTAAGATGGGAAAGTATAATTACCTAATGATAAAAATTTAGATAACTTCGCTAACATTGTCTCTCTGCTCCCTCAATATTGTGTCGAGTATTTTGTATACGTTTTCTGGCAAATGATCACGTAGCATTCGAGGCATAATTTTTAACTCCATAAAATCTTCGGCAACCGCCCAACGCATTTCGTAGCCAGGACCGCCAACCGCAGATTTTCTAGAGAATAGACTAGTAAATGGGATTTTTACACTTAGCGTTCGCATACCGTTCTGTTTTAGTTCGCTTCTTATTAACTATGTGTAAAATTCTACCGGCCGTGTATAGTCGGATTTTCGAAAATCTTCGTTGAGTAATGTCCCTCGACAATAAAACGGCATCTTGCGCTTCCTGAATTGTGACATTGAAAATTGTGAGAGACGAAGAAGACCTACCGTAGTCTCTGCGATTGTGTGTATTGAACGTTGCTCGAGGAGTGGCGATGTTGTTCCCGATGACACGAGGTCGTCTCTCCAAGTGGATTCTAAGTCACCAGATGGTACTCCAAACAAGGCGTATCCGCAACCGTTTAGCACAACGCGATACTGCAAAAGCCGATCAGATTCAATTGATCATCGCATTAAATTTACCTTTGGTAAACGGCTGGCGTGAAGAACTTGGATTATGCCCGTTCTCAAATTTTCGATACTGTCAACTCCTAATCTCATAACGAAGTCATCTCCAACGCCCACAGTGAAAATGAAACTTTCCGTAATTTTTGCAGCTTCCCGGCTGATCAAACCCGCTTTAAGAGTATTGATTAAATTTTGATTTCGACGAGAAGATTTCAAGTGTTTTTGAGGTTGACTAATTTTCAACTTATACCACGTTGTAGCAGGTGCTTCACACCAAACACCCTTACGCGTTAGATACCTTTTGCCAGTTTCGTTGAGAGCTTAACCAACCCTGACTGCTGTAAGTGAAGTCAAATTTTCTTATGTTTTAGTAGGACATTACAGTTTCCATCATAAGAGACAGGAAATCAGCTCCAGTTTAGTTTGGGTACATCGGGTAAATCGCCGTGGGAAGTCAGCGTAGGCACAGAACTGGTGAAGTGTAGGCGAAGGTTAAAGAAATTCTGGGCGGTTTTAGGAAGGAAAGGAGACACAAGGGACTTGTTAAGGAAGGCTTGGGAACAACTATATGAATCCCCGGCAATTCAGAGGACATCCAAGAAAGTTCCGTATTCAATTTGATGTAATATGGAATAGAGGTATGTCGTTAGAACATTATTGGTTCTCATACACTAACGAGAGCGTTAGATTTCGATTAGAATTTTTGAGTTTTTCCAGGGGAAATATATACGTACAGTAGAAGTTTAATCGCACACAATATCATAAGGGCATATCTAATTTTTCCGAAAAAAATCGAAAAAACTCGTTGCTAAGTTATATTTTAACAAGCAGCATGAGTGCTGGTGGCAACAAAAATCCGAGGCGAAATAGCAAACTGACCTCTACTGAATGGAATCTGCGCTCCGCTATCCGAAGGCTAATCCAATTGGACCTTACTCTCTCAGCGCCAATCATCGAATGCCGTAATTTCGTGCACAATAATCCCCTCTCTGTTCTTTTCTAACGCCCACTCAATGGTGGAATAGTAATGGCGGCGATATGTTATTAATTTTCATTGATTCACCGGGCTCTTAGTGCTGCATACTGACATTTGGATTCTGCGATGTTCTTTTTACCAAGCTGTGCTTATTTTGCAAAGTTGCAGAAGTAACTTAACACGATCTATTTCCAGTGTGTAATTCAAAACCAAAGCTAGACAATGAGACAATTTAGAAAATAATTCAGTGACGAACGTGTGAGAAGATTACATAAGCTCGGTGTTAATACAACCGACAAAATATATTATCATGAGTTAGATTTGTTTGGTGGAATGGTCTTGAAACCTTGACTTTTTCACTTAGACATTTCTATTCCGCATAATTCAAAAGAAAAATTTAGCGCAAATAAATGCTCTCGTTACAATACTCGCCCTTGGAAAATTCTCCCCAGAAAGTTGGTACCAGGAACGACAAAGAAAATTCTCTAACCCCCGGAATACATACTTTCGAAGAACTTACTCCATGAGATTCATGTACAGAAATGCCCCCAACTAAACCCGCTTCTATTTCTGTGACAAATTCGGTCTCATCGCCCCAAAGAGCATTATTCACATTGAGAAGATCTCTAAATACGAAAGAATTTCTATTCTGCGATCGCAGAGTAATTATTTTCTCTCCGGAGCATTTGTCCTCAGAATACTCCCGAAGGAAAATTTGCCCATGGAAACTTTACCGTATCAGCACTACCAGAAAACTACTGTCATCGTTATCCTTGCTTACCAACTCTCGCAAGAACTAAGACTAAGAATTGAGTAGGTAGGTACATAACATTTCTTTTAAGGGATTTTCTTAACATTGATCCTTTGGAATTTGAATATAGATTTTCTTTGCCCGAGTTATTTAGGAAAGGAGGAATGTGTCACTACATGAACACCTTTTCGAGCAGCGGAATACATGTTGCTGATTCGTTGATGCAGTTTGAAGGATCAGATTGAGAACTCTCAGTGAAATAACTAAGCGCTAGGCCAAGATTTGAGAACAATTGGCGCACTGTAAATTTCCCTATGGCCCATTTTAAATAACTCAACTCCTTTACATTGTCGTATGGGGACACGGTCAACTCGCCACCGGACCACTCGCCACCGACCGACTAGCCAACGGGACAACTCGCCACTGCGACAACTCCTGTTGGCGAGTCAGTCGGTTGCGAATGGTCCGGTGGCGAGTTGACGCGTACCGTTGTCGTATGGGGCATACGAACAAAAACACCCTGTATACACAACAACAATAGATCAACAGCTTGCGTTAAAACGCCGATATTTAAAAGCAGTTGCCGCTCAAATCGAAGATTGCTATGAAAATGATGTAAGTAAGTTTAGAAGGCGACCTTCGTGTAATTCTGCCTTTGTTGTCTTTATACCTTTCCGTAATAATTGCGAAAACCGGATGCCCTGCACGTTCATGGTGACGTCATATCAGAAAGATAGGTAAAATTTATGTGTTGCGTGTTTGCGTTTGTCTGTACAATCATTTATACCGTTTGCGTATAAGAGTTTTGGGTAAATTATAATTTAATTTATCATTAGAATATTCGTTCAAATTGTGTATTAAATTTAAGGTAGCTTTTTATGTGGAGTTTCGAAACTTACATGGAATTGTTATTAAATTGTAACCTATAACGTTTGAATCATAAATAAAGCAAACGATGTATTACCTGCATTTGACAGTATTTATTGATTTAAAGGTAATTTTCTGCATTATCTAAGCACAATGCCTCCAATGTTACCCAAATTAAGTTTTGCATATACCAATATCATTATATTTACCACCATCGATCTCTTCGATCTCATTTCCATTATGCGAGATTTCTTTTATTTTTTTGGGGACAAAGTTTCGGTTTGGGCTCCTCCCTTTACCAAATCCTGGGACCGCCACTGTTTACCACATAAATAAAGGTATTAAGGTGGGTTCATAGCTCTCCGTTCTTACGTTTCCGTTTGTCCGTTAGCCAATCAGAAGACAGCAAATTTTTAAATCGTACGTCGTCCGTTTACGACGGAAAAGTTGGTTGAAGTTGAACATTTACGTTTCCGTTGTTCCGTTTTTAACAAGAGTGAGGTTATGTTTGGTACGTTAACAGTGTTCGCCTATTCGTTCTTCACGGTAATAATCAGATAGCAATGTGCTCTTACTTTCGTACCATTTTTACATACTGAAAATCACGGAGGGTACAGTACAAAATAAAATTTAGGTTATGGTTATACGTTGCAAATGTACAATGTGGACGGATTGCTATGAACCTTAATAAAATGCATTATCCGTTTGACAGACCAACGCAACGGATGAACGGAGAGCTATGAACCCACCTTTATATTTAAACAAAAACAAAAAAGGTAAATTTTATACCTACAAGTTATAACCTAAGGAGCAACTACAAGTCAACGAGTCAGTAAGTAAAATTATCGAACAGTGGCGTAACGACGTGGGGGATATACGAGTATTCTTAACCCAATCGTGAAGCAACACATTAGCTGATATCAAGTGAAGTAGTACGTGTTCAAAACCAAGTCACGCAATCAGTTTTTGAGGCTATGTTGGTAATGTTCGTAATGTTTTTGCACCCCCAATCATTTAGGGACCGAAAAAAGGAAAAGTTCAAGATCATAGACCACCTACAACCCCACTCATCAATGTCAGTCAAACTTAACTGAAGTACCTAACTCCTATCTTTGAAGATGCAATGCATTGAAAACGTCAGGGCGCTAGGTTTCACTTCCAGCAGTCAAATTACATAAACAAGCAAGTAGGAGGCAACGAGTAATGAGTTGAAAATTCGTTATTTTGTAGAGAAAACTTACCTGGTGTCGCAAACGCGTACACTTTCAGTTCCGGAAACTTATTCCTTAACTTAAGCGCTAGCAGACACGCAACCCCCGCACCGAGGCTGTGTCCTGTGAATATGAGGTCATATTCCGGATACAAAGCGAGCGCTTTCTCAATAATGCACATCTCTTTTAGAATTTTCGCGACGTAATTGGCGCCTTCGGCCATTCCCTTGTGCGCCATCGTGTCCGGTGGCAGTCCGGGTACCTCGAAGGTGTCACTGGCGGCACTTAAGTCCGTAAACATATCACGAAGGGAGATAGAGCCACGAATCGCTATGACTATACTTCCCGTTTTGTGATCTGCTATCACGCAAAATGGCAACTGGAAGAGCGATGGTGATCAGGTGTAATTAAAAGCGTGAATTACCTCAAAGACGTGATTACGAAACGATGCGAAGAGGATGTCTTCTTCGCGCAACTTTGAGATGTATTTTACACCGGCGAGGTGGCAAAGGCAGCAGTTGTCGTCGATAATTATGCTACTTTTGCTTCTGAAACATCCGCAGCACGTGATTTGGCCCAAAAGGCGGCAAATGCCGGTGACGCAGTGGCGATACATCACAAACGGCCATCCGTAGGCCGCAATTGACAGCCGAAGAAAATGGCGGGCGTTCTCCAGATTCATCCATCTTGGCGCGACGGCAAAAACTCGACTGAGATCTGCACAAAGTCAATCTCAAATCGAAGAGAGCTTGTAATACCTACCGGAACTGTATCGAGGTTCATCGTCAGACAGCATCTGAATTCGCCTCATTTCTCTCGTTTCTTTCTTCTGCTTCACCCTCAGTAATATACAACCGGCTACAATATCGGACGGCACCAGATCGGTACTGCGAAACAGATCGCTTAGCAGAGCGGCCACCTGCCGAAACGCTTCGTTCCCATGCTCGTCGGACCTTAACCAGCAGAACGCCCAACGAAAACGTCTCTGCCAGATGCTCGTCCCCTTTCGAAGTCTCAACGACTCCCCGCCCCCGGGTGTCTCCTGAACGTCGTGATACCGCTTCGACCCCAACGGGTCGAACACTAACGCCAAACCAAACACGGCCAAACCGAACAGTGTCCAATTGAAAATGGCTAAAGCTGAAAGCAACCTTTGAGTACCTAGGCCCAAGGTTCGCCTAGTTACCTTCGATGATTGTCTTTGAGAAATGCTCTTCGTGCTCGCAAACGATGACGTCCTTGCAGAATGCCCACATCGTTCCGAATACGTTTAGGACGGTTTCTGGAATGATTAGGAATATTTTGAGTAGCAGTATCGCGGGAACGTGCTTTCTGCTCTCCACGTCGGTGATGGAACCTTGGGCGCTTCTGTTAACCAGGGCAACGAGTATAACGATAACAACTGCTAAAAGTGACATCATTCCTAATATGTACGTGCGAATGTACTCGCCGCCCTTTGAGCATTCCCACGTGTAGCTGTAGTAACGGATGTACAGCACCACGATTAGGATGAGCCTGCAAAAAAAGGAATTTTTAGTAGCATTCGCGACCACAAGTACAACTGTTGGATTGTACCCTGATTATTAGGTATATTATTGTACTATGTACTTCAAATATTAGAATACTTGTTCGTGTATTCACGTTAGAGTACAGAGTAAGTTGAATTTGCTTTGTAAATATAGATACCTCTCCGAACCCATACAGTTCAAAGAAAGGCAATTGCAATTACTGTCAATTTAAAACAACTAAGGCGGTTAGCAAAAAGATCTAAATCTTTTACAGAGCAAAGATTACGCTCACAAAATAATAGTAAAATGAAACGTTGTAATTAAACACTCTAAACTTCCTGCCAAAATAGCTAACACATCGATGAGCAAATTATAAGCACATTGTAGAAATGTCCTGTTGGCATGACTCCATTTCACCTCAAATGGAATTCAAGATTTCCCAGTGTTCAGTTTTAGATCTGGCCAGTTTCGTTTGTACTATTTTACCGTTTAGCAGAGAACCCCTCAATCATTTAGTTGTAGGTAGGAGGACGAATAAGTGTTTGTTGAAGAAAAAATCTAGACAACTTTCATTTCACTACAAATTCTTACGTGTTTCACGGAGCCTGCCTGGATCAGTAATAAAACGGACAACTTTAGCCAAAGACGCGTGGGTATTTATATGGGTTTCAATCATTTCATAGAAGAATGAAATCGATCAGGAATCACACAGTGGGAGAGGGTAAGATTTGTGTTTATTTACCACCATAACTGCAAGTGATTTAACCATAAGAGTTTTGGGAAGGGTTTCGAGGACTTGTGAGGCTTTTCTTGGCCATAATTTGTAATGTGAGGCAATCATGAAAATTCTAACCGTTGTGGATTCAACACATAAAAATTATAGGAAAAGGTATTTTCCCGGTTGATCTGAGACAATCAGTTTGGAGTTACCTTGTGTGCTTTACTTCCAAGCTAGCTCAGATTAAAAGGGTTCAGAATAGGAAAGAATTCCATTTTTTTTCTTTGTGGCTCTAGCTTTTGAAACCTTTGGCCCCTGCAGCTCGGAAACAACATCATTTTTGAAGTGTATTGGACAAAACCTCATAGCAGAATCCGGAGACAGCCGTGCTAAAAGTTTCCTATTCCAAAGAATATCGCTTGCCATCCAACGTGGGAACGCCGCTAGCATTAGGGGCACCCTCCCAGATCATCCAGGAATGGACGAAATATTTTCATTGTGAAAATGAATCATGGCAGAAATCTCAAGTGGATACTTGCTGAGCTCTCCAAGGCTTCTACTGACGCTACTTGCGTCCATCATATTATATTAAGATTATTGTTGTTACCTACTCATACTCTTAGTTTAGTTTAAATTCAATAACCACTTATTATTAGCCATAAATTGTGCCATTGTGAAGAAAATTCCATTTTTCATTCACTGAAGTCACTTTAATAATTACAAACTAAACACATTTATTATAGTTAAAAAATAAAACCAACCAAATTATTACTGTTACTCCAAAAAGACGCAAACTTTATCCCTAACCAAACCCCTCACTGGCCAGATAATTAATTTTATTCTAGCAAATAATCCCACACGTAATTATAAAGAAGTAAAACCTAAATAATTAATAACTAAGACACTTAAAAATATACGCAAGGAGAAGTTCGTCTTTCATGGCGAACGGACGTGTTTTGAGCCAGCTCCGGCTGATTTTAGTGTCTTTTGTGACTGTATAGGTTTAAAAATGTTTGTCCTGTGTGGCCGGGAGCGCACAAAAATTTGTAATTGTTTAGTGCTTATTTGATCGAAATCGGTTCAGTGGTTGAGATTTTACGAATTTTTAAAGTATTAAGTTTAATCTCAAGATGCATAACGCGCGGGACTAATTAAATCGTGAGAAGACAGGGCAGGAACCTCCAATCAACAGAACAAAAAGGGCGTAAAGTTAAGATAAGTGCTTGCTTGCTTACTTACTTACTTACTTAGAATTAAGGCTAAATTTAATTTAAATTGAACAAAGGGGAAAAGATAGAAAAGAGCGGCCCAAGTCACTGGGAGCTACATTGAATATACCTACTTCGAAGCGGGGCGGAACAAATTGACCCTTGGGAAAGGAAATATAAACTTGTCAACCGGAGACATATAAAGAAACTATAGCCATAAATTACCTACAATATTTAAACTCTCAAATTTCGGTTTAATAGGCATGATTGACAAAAAAGGAAACCTTTCTTACCAAATTTAAGCGGCTTTTTTTTCCTGTTTTTTTACACTTTTTTACTCTCGTTAGTACCTTTAGTTTAGAGTCTCACAGAATAGAATATACGGGGTGGCCAAAGATAGACTGAAGGGACGCGTCTCAGTGACATAACAACTAACTTAACTAAATTATCTCTCCTAGATATCTCTTTTAGCGATTAACAAACAGCACCCACCACCCAAATCAGAATTAAGACCTTAATGACAAGTATCAGCGATCAAATAGAAGTGCGATCAAAGAACACATCCTAGAATGCATCAGTATAAATAAGGACGGGGACTGCCTGTTTGGAACGATTGCGCACCAACGGAGGGGACTGCCAGGGACATCAGAGCCTCTCATGAAATTAAGCAAAGGATTAAAAAAGAAATCAACGCATACATCAGGGAAAACCTGGAAGATTTCTACCCACAATTGGTAGGAGACGTAGACGGACAGGTGGAGAGAACCAGCAGAGTTACGGAAATCGTAATCAAGAAGCACCGAGGCATTGAGGTGGAGAAATTTGAAGGAAAAGTAAGAGTATATCCATGGCCCAAATCAAGATGAAAATAGGAAGACTAACAATCACAGGATGCCACATCCCCTCGGGCAAAAGAGGACAGGCGGAACTCAGAAATCGAAGTGAAACAACAGAAAAAAGTGCGGAAAGAACCTAGGTATCATACTAGGCGGCTTCAGTACGCAACTAGGCAGACTGGACGAAAGTGAAGAGGAGGAAGGGAACACAGCAGACATATGGGCAAAAACAGTAGGATCGGACCACAAAACGGTAAAGGGGAAAGTCAAGAGGGAGGGGGGAGAACAAAGGACAAGGAGCACAGCGGGGAAACCGAAGGGTGGGATGTGAAACTTCTGTCAGGGGAGAAGAAAAGAAAGGAGCACCGAAAGGAGCAGTAAGAGATTAGAAGCAAAAAGGGGGAAGGGATACCATATCGGAAAAGATCGGCGAAACGCTCAAAGAAACAACAAAGAATACACTAGGGAAACAGAAACGCCCATGTGACCGAACAGAAAGCGGGCCAAAACCCACACTAACCTGAAACAAAGAAGGAGCTAAGGGAAGCCAAGGAAGAAGAAAACGGAGCCTATGAGCAACACGAAATCAAGGAATTCGCCGTGTTCGCGGAGAACATCGCCAAACTCAGACCAATGTAGAGGAATATGCAAATGTAATGGTATAGGCACATCAAAAAATACAAAAGGAGGAAACAAGGGGGAAACAGAAAATAATATACCAATGACAGCGTGGGCGATGCTGGGACTACCCAAATTCCTAATCAACAGAACCATAAACGCGTGGCAAAGTGAGTATACTAGTATACAACAGTTTTGGAAGAAACCCGAACACCAAAAGAAAACCAGGGGGATCAAACAAGGATGTCCGCTTCCCCAAGGCTCTTCGCGATAGCACTTGACCACGCTATAGAACAAACAAGGATGGTGGTGACGAACTTTAGCACAGGCGGCCAATTACTACTACCGACATTACTGGCGTACGCGGACGATCTATTTGTAATCCCGGATAATTTATAAGACACTGAGGACTTCGTCCAGGCCAGCGTGGTACCAGGTACACCTGGAAATGGTGGACCTACAAATAGACAACGAAAGCTACATGATGATAAGTGCCAAGAAACAACACCCCCAGTACAAAGAAGGGGAGAAGACCATAATAGCCGAGAAGGAGATAACCATGAAGCACAAGATCAAATATCTGGGAACGTACATAAACAGCACCCTCAGCAGGCACAACGCAGTGCAAGACAGAATAACCAACGCATTCAGAAGCACACACGGAATCTGGAACTTCTTACGAGAGAAGAAAATACCGGGCAGCTGGAAAATGATGATTTACAACACGAACATAGCACCGACAATGTTATACGGAATTAACACTTCAGCGCTAACAAGGAGCAACAGACGAACATTGAGGAGGGCGGAGTGGAAGGCACTCAGGATACTGAAGAAAACAGCAACCTCACAAGAAAGCAGAGAAGAGAACTACTAGAAGGAAAGACGATTACCAGGAGACTGAAGATGATTCAGATGAGATACTGGACATACCAACAAGAGGAACAAAGACCATATCATACGGGCTGCCAAGATTCTGTGTGCCTCGGAATGGAAGGTACGCCGACCCTGCCACACATGGAGCACCACCATAAACCAAACGGTAGAGGTCTCGGGGATTACCATGGGAAGATGGGAAGAAAAGAGCAAAGACACACATCAAGGAAGAAAGAAAGCAGAAGAATACTGGAGGTGGAGGAAGAAGCCAAGGGGAGGAGGAAAAGGGGACAGAAAGTAACGCAGGGAGAGGACAACAATAAAAAGGGCCTAACACGAGGGAAAACCGGGAAGGGAACGAGACCAAAGGATAGGAACATCGGAAGCCAATGAACGCCCGGATAAGAAGCTATCACTAGAAAGCAGAGTTCCCTCTAAGGCAGAATACCAGTGGCGAAGCTGTGGCCGTACCCGTTCGGGTCGGATAACATCCAGTTAGCCGCCCCCCCACAACCCCCCCAATCCACAAAATCCACCACATTGTTTGGCATATGTCGCGGACCAGCGCGATGGCAACAAAGTAGTGGAGAAACGTCCCTGATAGTGTCTACCAGGGACGCATCCTCACGACAGTTGACTAAATCCTGGGAGAGGCGGCGACGCCAGGCATATGTCAAAGTTTCAAGTTTCAAGACACTTAAAAATATACGCAACTCAGTTTCTTTCACTGATAATTCGAATAAAATGCAAGTGA